ACGGGCTGGAAACAATGGTGAAAATAGAGGCATGTAACACGAAAATGTCATGCCACCGCTCTGTCCGTTCCCATCAAACATCAAAGGGAATGTCACATCAATCCTTATGGTGTGTTCTCATGTACAGTATTCTGCGTTTTTCAGAATGACTTGTTCCGTTTATTGCAAGGAAAATTAGATATTTGAACAAGCGCTCTATTTTCCACATTAATGTCAGAAAAAAATGGTTTTTATAGATATTTTGATATAGATTTGATAAAAACAAATAAAAATAATTCGACTTATGATCAATTAATTTCTTTTTCTTATTGAGGAAAAAACAACTATATTATATTTAACTTCATCTGAATTGATCTGAATTTGTTAAATTCTTTAAACGTATTTATCTTGCATTAAAAAACACCAATAGCTTATTTTTCTAGATCTTGAACGTATAAGGAGCTTAATTCATACCAACAGTGATCAACAGGATAACAAATTAGCTCATGATAGCTTAAAAAAATAAGAATTTTTTATATTTTTGGGCAACTTAGATTCCTAAAATTCAAACTAAAGTTTCTTAAATTTTGATATATGTAATAAAAAATAATATAAATATTGTTCAATGATTCCATCAAAACATTTCCAGAGAGAAAAACAAATGAATTGGGACAAAGTATTAAGGAAAATTGAAATTTTTGTGATCTTAAATTCTTAACAATAGGGTCAGAGGATTGACAAAGGTGGGTATATATTTTTTCCAACCACTTTGATGAAAGCAATTAAATATAAATTAAATGTTTGAAATGAGAGAAATTGATAATAAAAGATGGGAACCTCTCTATAGACAGGTATTCTTTTAAGCTGTTCTCCATCCTTCTCCGTCTTCCAACTCCATCAGGGAAATAATTAATTGCGGTCGATGGATGGACCACTGAACAACTCTTGTCGTACTTCTACGTGTCTTTAGTACTCACATCTAGAGAAGTTAACGAGCGCCCAGTTTGACAAGTCGACGGTGCAGCCGACAGCTCGGTTTTTTTTCCACTTTTTCTATGAAGTTCCGACAAAGAAACCGGCAAACGCAGGGGTGAGCCTGCGGTCCGCGGCTTATCTGTGTTCAACCACCGAAAAAGCCCCCAGGAAGAAAAAGGGTTGCAAAAAAATCGCTCGGCCAAACCCATTCTCCATTGTGGGGCGAGGGGAAGCTTTTAAATTCAAAAAGATTAATGGCTTCTTTGGCGCTGATGTAATAATCCGCGTCACAGTGCCAAGGCCGTAAAATTTATGTTGCGAGTGATTTTTGGCTCGTGAATCTGCTTATAATAAACATCAAAATCAACTTTCCTGATGTGGCCGTAAAATCGCACTCTCAAAGGGGTGCCGAAAGTCATAAAAAAGAGAGACGAATTTCCAACTGGCTGCGAAATTTGCAGGGGTGAAAAATGAGTTTTTTTTTTGCTCTTCATTTTTCATTTATTGCTTGCGGAAAAAAATGCGTCAGTGAACGAACGAACGAAGTAAGCAAAAGTCAATTTTACACTTGAATTGCCAGTAGAGCGGTTTAATTTTACGGCTTTTAATACGCGTGTGCTCTTGTTTCGCCAATTGCAGCAAAGCACCTCTCACGCGCCGATCTCTCTCATGAGTTTAATTAATTCAAATGAGCGACAAAAGCAGCGGCGACGGTATACGGAATTGAACTCCACGCTTTGAATGGGAGTTCATTGCACGCGGTTCAACGGACATAATTTTAATTCTGCGCTCAAAGGCTGCGGGGCTCAAAGCAGCAGCAGCAGCTTTTTGCTCTTTGGTGTACCCCAAAATGAAAGGGTTATTATCGCAAACTTCACGCCTGACTGCGTTTATTTTGAATTATTAATAAGATGAACATCGAGTTTCATGAAAAAAGTCGGCCAACTAGATTTAAAAATGAAAAATTATAACCCTTCCTAAAAACTGCAGCGGTGCTGAATTATGTGAATCTCTCAATTGAAAATTTCATTCAAATGTTTATAATTTTGTAATTTATTCATTTCAAATTTCAATTTCCCGATACTTAAATATGAGGCTTGTCTCAATTGATAAGTAAATAAAAAAATTTAACCTTTTTATTTGTCTATATTTTTTCAATTTTTTTTTAACTTTTGACCGAATATTATGCAGTTTGCATTTTTTTAAATATTTATCTTTAACTCTAGAACATTCTATGAATTGAACAAGGACAATGTGCTAATTGTTGACTTATATTGGTAACTGCTGTATTACAAAAATCTAGATAATCACGGTAGGCGATAAAGATCTGAACTTTGTGCTACATTGAACGCTTACTTAATATTGTAACTAGGCAACGCGCACAACACGTGTTTGTTTTCCTCGACCAACAAGTTCAATGATTAGAAGCCAAGCAAATTTTAATCTGTCAATAGGGCAAATAAACTCTCAACCATCTACAGGAGCGATTGCAAAGGTTTATTGAAAGATAAACGTTTTGTTTTCTTTTGGTTTAAACTGATATCAGAGGTCTTAAAGAACTTTCTTTTGTCCGCTGTTTGCATTTAAAATTTCAGCATTAAATATTATTTGAAATATAGAGCAAATTTCTAATGGAGGAAATACAATGTTTCAAAATGAAATTAAAATATTTCAATACAAACAGATAATTCTAGGTTATTCCTGCATTCTAAATTTTGGTTTTTTTCCTTTCCATTATAAATTTTCCATGCCAAAACCAGCATTTATTACTTTTTGTTTCAAATGAAACATATCAAAAATTTAGATTACGGTTTGATTTATAAAAACGTAATGATAAAAATAAAGTTCATTGAGTTTGAATTCAAATCTGTGAAATTAATGTCCCGTTGATCTCTTTTACGATCCATTAATGCTGAACTTTTGCACCGCACCACAATTGAATTGAGCATACAATTCGTTCATAATTGGAGCGGAATAAAGGGCAACAACGCGGCAGCCTTTTGTGTCGCGCTGTGCAGCTGAAATAATATTGGCGCGCCGTCGGTTGGGGGTGACTTATTGCAATAAATTATTTCGTTTGCAAATGAGGTGGCTCGTGCAGAAAGCGACGGCGCAGAGCAAACGTCGGCTACGTAATTACATCAGTTCCTTTGCTGACGACGAGAACAGACACACACACGCACTAATTAAGTCGGAGAGAGAGCGAAAGGCAAGTTTTAAAACGTTCGAGATGCGAGTACATAATAAAATTACGCAGCAAGTTTGGCAGATTAACTTTTGGGCCTCAATCAAGTTTCGCTTAAAATCTCTTCAGCCAAACACATACTCTGCTTGCATATAGATTGGCCTTAAGGAGGAAACGCCTGTGGGAGCAAAAAGCGATTTGACCCGCCTCGCTAATAGATTTTATCTCGCTCGATGAAGACGTTCTTGTTTTCTCGCGCCAGAGCCCCATTTGGCGGAAAATGTACTGCTAACCGTCAATAGCGGCCGCCGGGTGAGAATTGATGACGTGCTTTCTCCGGGCGTTTATTGATGTTCCTGCCGCGGTTTGACCATTACTTTTTACGCCGAATCGGCTCGGGCGATGAAAGTATCCGTTATCGGGTTATTGCCCAGCTAAATACAACTTCTTCGTTCTATTTGCCCTTCCGAGAAATGGTCGTTATAAGGGGACGCTCATCTTGAACGGTCCGATGACCATTAGTTATCATCTCGAATCGCTCTTCTTTTAGACAAGGCGAGAATAACTCTGTTGGTAAACGTCGGAATGGGAAAAATTGAGGCTTTTCCTTTCTGGATGATGTAATTAGTTATGTCTTGTTATTGAGTGATTCCGGCCATTTATAAAAAATTGAATATTCATGGTAAAACGTTCCTATTATATTTTTTTAATTAATTACAGCCACCAAATATCATTTCAAATAATTTAATAATTTTACACTTATCTTAGAAATGGATTTCATAATTAAAATTTTTCAATTAAAAACTAGTACATTTATAAAGGCAAAGCCTTGTTATCATTTGTTCTAACTGCAAATAATTTGATGCGAACTGCAATTTAAAATATTAAAAATTCACAAACATTGCAAAATTTTCGGCTGAACATGTACAAAGTTTTATTTCATATAAGTTTACCATGTTTGTTCTAAATTTTAATTTTTTTAGTCTGTTCGGAGAACAAGCAAATGTGCGATGAATAGTGCAACTTTAAATATTTCATAATTATTTAAATAAATTTATATCAACATTGGAATGTAAAATGTAAACAATGTGATGTAACGATTTAGACAAATAAACAAGAATAATTTTCAGCAAACCGTACTTTTACCTTTGGTTTTAGTTAACCGAGCTATTTTTTTTTAATAATTGCGTATTTATTATAAATAATTAAAACAAAATCTTTCACACACTAGGGTGAATACAAATGTTCTTTCATTTTTAATGAGAAACACAGATATTACCCTTTCCGTGACATTTCACAAGGAATTGGTTCCTTAACAATTGAGAATAATTACCAAAATTATACTTCAATTGAATTATTGATTCGTTCCAAGCTTTGAGAAATGATATCGTAATAATCATAAATTATTCCTTACAGTTTAAACGTCACCAAGCCCAGAATAGAATCCCACTTAACATAACAATAATTTCGAATTTGAGCGACTTAACAAAAGCAGAAGAGCCGCGCGCTTGTATATATGAATTCCTACTACAAATTCACCCCTCGCAAGCATATAATAAAAGGGGGTTGCAGCAGACTTTTTTATTTGCTTTAATTCAATTTGCCGGCGAAATAAAGTGGCGCAAACACAGAGCAGGCGCCCAATCCGCCGGATTATATGCAAAAAGTAGTGCTCGCATGGCAGCAGCGTCGCAAACTGCACGATATTGGCCAAATTCCAGCGACTGTGTCAAATTTCCGCCATGCCGAGGATGCTGGCTGGCACGAGAGCCGTACGATCATCTCCGTTCTCTCGTAATGAGGCCAACGAGAGAGCGGAGCCAGCAGCACAAAGCAAAATTATAAAGGGATCGCTACTCACCTCCAATAATGGAGTGGCGGTAGTCGCTCCTCGAAGAAGTGGCAGCCACAGGTTTGTGCTGCTGGGACACGATCTGGACAGAAGTGTGTGGAGAACCGACTGGCGGCGAAAAGTCCCCCTCCGGCTCCACCTGGTTGTTGTGCATTCTGAAAATTCAAACAATATTCAATTTAATAATTACATATAATTGGTAATGGTGAAAAATTAATAATTTTCAATATTCAATTAAAAAATTAATTGTACATCCAAAATGTCATTTGAAAATGAAATTCATAATGACAAAATTCTCAATGAAAATTTTTTATTTTCAAAATTAAATAAGAAGCAAATTAAAATATTAATCAAATTTTTTTTTATTATTGTTTTACATTTTTATTACTACGATTGTACATCTGGATGGTCCATTATACTTACTAGTTTGAAAAAAAATTGACAAAAAAATTAAAAAAAAATTTGTAAGTTTGTGCAAACCAAAATCTCAAGATACAGTGGAAATTTTTGTTAAATTCAGAATTATCGCAAGATATTATGAAAAATATGTTATTTTTTTCTGAAAACTTTCACGCCTTCAAAATTCATGCACTGCTCGAATTCTGTGTCGGACGTGGAAATTCTCATGGGAACGCACCGGGAGAAAAACGAAAACCTCTGAATTATGCGGCTGTTCGACGGAATTTGCATGCAAACGGTTGTTTAAAGAAGCGTTGATGGCCGCGCTGCCTGCATTAATAGTGTCGTTGGCAACTTCAGCAGCTCCTTTCAAGTTGCTTTTGCATGTACGACTGGCCATTGATCCAAATACTGCACTTGACACTTTTGGCTGCTCGCAGATGGAAACAAAAGATACGCCGCCGCGTGGGCCAATTGATTTCTTGGCCGCCGGTTCCGCGTCTCTGACAACTGAGCAAGCCCGACTTCTTGAAAAAGCTTTTTCTCCTTGCAAGAGCAAAAGTCTCTCTATGTTCGCAATCCTTCGCGTTGAAACATATAACTCGATTTCACTTTATATCGGCTGAGCTTTTGTCGGGGATAATTGAATTTTCGCATTGCTCGCTGCCCCTTTTATGTTTGGAGAGATGAATTAATTGTACGGCAGAGAGTGAGTTTTCCACCAACGCGTCCAACCATATAGAATAATTTTGCATTTTTATTAAACCAGAAATCGCCAGAAATGAGCTTAAAAGCGTTTCATTTGAATTTTTGCTTTTAATTTCAAAAGCAGTATTAGAGAAGCAGGGATCAATTTTAATCTGTTGGTTGCGTATTTGGTGTGGCCAATGTATTGAAATTATTAAATGGGTTAAAAAATATCTCCATAAATTAATCCATGCCATATTATTGAAATGTGTCGAATTCTAGCGGGGTTTTATTTTAATCTGTATTTTGAAAATAGCGATTAATTTCCAAATCAAACAGAATTCAAAATCCTAATACAACCAAATTTGTCATTTTTTTTTTCAAATAATTTATAGGGAATATTTTTTTTAATTGATGTACGCAATGATTATTTTTATCCTTGTTTTTTATTTCTTTGCATATCAAAATGAGAATTACATAATGTATTGATGTTTTTTCAGAATTTGTCGGTATGTAATAAATAAAGACTTAAAAATTAACATGCAGATCAGAGATAATTTTTATGATCACGAACAAATGTAGTGAATAAATTAAGATTTCTTCGGCTTCTTTGCTTGTGAACTGGTTCCTGCAGTAGGTCTTTTCCCTTTATCTAAAATTTAAATTTATTAAAATCACTTTTCTTTCAAGTGTCAAACTCCCACCTCCGCCAGATTTTCCTTCCTTATTTTTCTTGTACGCAGCGTTCATTTTGGCAATGTTCCCCTTGTGGACTATTTCGTGCTTTACAATGGGCCGTGGATAGTCCTGGCCGATGATGCAACCTGCTGCTTTTTGCACAGACAAGGGCGCATTCCACGGCTCGTAAATATATTCCACTGGGTACTTCTTCAGCACAGGGACGTATTTTCTATATCAAAACACTGGATGTATCATTGAAACGGAAAGAGAAAAAATATTATACTTGATGTATTCGCCAAATTTGTCGGTTTTCTTGCCAAAAACCACCGGACTGTAAACTCTGAAGTACTGATGGAAAAAGGCCGACGCGGAAAGCCACATCCAGTTGCCCGCGTTCAATGCCCAGTCCGCATCTAGCAAAAGTTCCTCAAACACCTTTGAAAACATTAATTAACACCGAGAAGGCAGCAAAAAGTTTAGTCAACAAACTTTCTGTCCCTCTTCCCACGAAATCCACAGGTCGCCCCGAGTCAAAAAGCAGGCCTTGCTAAATGATGAATCCAGCCTTCTTTTCTCAGTTGAGTCATAATTGCGTCAATAAAAGGGTATCCTGTTCGACCCTGAGTAAATAGAAAATTTCAATATCATAATACAACATTATTTAATAAATATTAATTAAAACGCGCCGTTTAAAATTTATTAAAAAAATTAATTTTCAAAACATTAAAATCGATTTTAATTAATGAAAGAAATAACTGCACCAATAAAAGGAGCCTGTTTTTATAAAAAATTTATTTTAATATAAATTGTCTCGAAATAAATATACATTAAAACTGATAACGGCTAAATTCCCGATAGAAGAGAAAAAAATCAAGTTTGAAAAATAAAATATTTTAATAAATAAACTTATGCTTATTATCTTTCAATTTATTTTTGAATAAGAATAAAATTATTTTTCAAATAAAACTTTAAGGATTTCAAAACTTATATTAATTTTAAGTACCTCTTTCCAAGCTCTTAAGTGGGCCTCGTTAGTTCCCCAGGGGATTTGGCAACAAATTGGATTTCCCTCCATTTTATCAAAATTTGGCGTTGCGGTGGCAACGACGTAGTAAAACTCCCTCCAATACAGCTGCCCAATTAGTGAAACTGGCGGTTTGCTGTGCTTTCTTCCTTCGATAGTCTAAAATATTTTTTTCAAAAATTAAAATATCGATTTTAAAATTAAACAGGCACCTTTTTAACTCCGTGGAAAAACAGTCTTGGCGAAAGACAGCCAAATTTCAAGTATGGGCTAAGTACGGTTGTGCTCGGAGACAAACTGTTTGGTGACGTATTTGGCTTTTCAAAATCGCAAATCCAAGCCTAAAAAACAACAATCATTTGTGAAAAAAAATTATTGATAAAAAAAATTTGTATACTTTTCTGGCCAAAACCGATTCCATTCTTTTCAGAGCTTCAATTTCGCCTCCGAGAAAAATGCAGGGCTCTAAAATATTTTCATCTAATCCAAAATCGCTCAAATTTGGTACTTTATAGGGCCCGAAAATATCTTCTTCGGAGGGAATTTTTAAGTGGCTCTCCTCATCGACCTTGCTGTAGCCTTTGGGCACTTTTTGAGGCGCATCCACTGCCTGGGGCGGCGGCCCCACACCCTCGGCCACACTGACGAATTTCTGGTATGTCATGGGCGGTTTGCCCAAGTTGGCAGAAATGATCTTCATCGGGTCGTACAACGTGTGCGACACTTTTTGAACAACTTTGACACCCGCGGTCTTGGCCAAAGCCTCGATTTGCTCATCCCTTTCCTTCGCGTACGGTTCGATGTCGTGCTCGAAACTGAGGAATTTCACATTCCAGGCTTTGAAAATTTTGGGAAAAACCTCCTCCGGCTTTCCTCTGATTACGAACAAGGCAGAGCCCAATTCCTTCAGCCTCTCGTCCAGAGCAGCCAGACTTTGCTGCAGAAATCTCCATCGATTCGGTCCGACTTTCATGTTTTTCACGAACCACGGGTCCAAGATGAAAATTGGTCGCAGCTCACACGCGCCTCCCCCGTGCTTCTCACACTGATCAATAAAAATAAATCTCGTGAGATTATTTTGTTTTTGTTTATTTTATTAAAGTGTTATGTAACACTTTTCATAATATTGTACGAATTATGCAAATAAAAATAATTGTTTTAAATATACCTCACGAATCGCCTCTATCAGAGCAGGATTGTCGTGAATTCGCAACCCTTTTCGAAACCAGTGGACTACAGTGCTGCGACTCATTTTCGAATTTTGTGATCCTTTTCAGCAATTTCAGCTCTCACTCGACAATCAACACACAAAGAGTCAAAGACTGCCGGTGCCGGTTTGTTTTTTTTTCGGCTAAACAAAGCATGAATTAGTTTTGCCAACCTTGCAATGTTTTCTCAAATTATAAATAATTTACATTAACTAATAATTACGGTGTAAAAATATTCCATGATAAAGAAATAAAAGTTAAATAAATTAAATAAAAGTCGAATTTTATAAAAACTTAGAAAAATGATTTTATTGCGATGTTAACATAAGCATTTATTTTTATGTTTGCTCAACTGCGTGTGTCAATCGTGTAAGAAGTGGGAGTGGCTGGACGAAAGACAACAAACAGCAACAGGCACAGACGTGATGTGATGTGAATTATAATAATGTGCAGATTTATATAGTTATGAATGGCTTTTGGCAAGACAAGTGGAAGGAACATGATTGTGTCAGTGACCGGACATAATAATCGCAGTGATGCTGTCAAGTGTCTCTAACAAAATTCAAGTGTGTATCAGAAAATAATGCATCAATTTTAACGTTTGAAAGTTTGAAATTCACATTTATTTTAAATTTAGTGCTCTTAGAATTTTTATCTTCAAAAAATATGTATGTAGCATTCATTTTAATTTTTTTTTCTAAAATTTTCAAGAAAATGAATGATTTTTTTCATTTTTTTTTTTTTTAAACTCAAATTTTGTTAGTTTTTTTTTTTTTTTTAAAATAATTAGGTTGCTTAGAGGAACTTTAAAATGAGCTAATTTTAGTTTCTTAAAATCCATTAAAATCCTTTATATGTTTTCATTGGCTCAGAAAATATTTCATCATACCCATATTAAAACTAATTAAGCAGTTTTGTTCTATACTTTTTACTAATTCCAGGTTGAATTTCAGATTTTGAATGCCACCTCGAGTGGCCACCAATGCAGCATCAACCCACCTCCTTGGGCCACGAACTCACCTCTGACAATGAAAGCTTATTGAACCATCATTCCTGAGTAAGGTGCGTTATTTTGATTTTATATTATCAATTACTATAATAAGAGATTCATTAAGAACACCTAAAGTTTATGAGGTAAATAAATGAAATTTTCAACAACTATAAAATTATTCCAAAAATAAGCTTGCTTTGAGAAACTATTTTCTTTTATATTGATTATAATACTTTCTATGACTCCAAAACATTAATTACATGAACTATATTAAAAAAAAATATATAAGAATGGACTTAAAAAAAAACAACAACAACAAGAAGCTCTGAAAAATTTACAGTTTAATTTTAACATTAATTTGCATTTCATAAACAGTTTAAGTTTATTTTCTCTTCCAAAAAAATTTGTTTCATTATAATTAGGAGTATTCAATTTTTAATGGTTCATAACATCGACGTATTCATTCAACGCACTGGGAAGAAATAATGGAATAACGCAAAAATTAAATTAGTGTTCGGTATTTACTTTTATCAACTGTTATCATTTTTTCATAAAATATGAAAGAAAACATTTAAAGTACTACATTTTATCCATACAAATATATTATAAATTTTTAAACATCAAAATTCCACGAGTGAGCGTTCAAGAGTGTATAATGTCTGCGCACTCCCTTCTTATAAAAAATTAAATATCTTCATATTAGGGATGGAAGGGCACGCACATTACACGAGTTCCGCCTCGCCTGTACATACAAGCGGGGGAATTTTCCACTCTTCATAACTCAGTCAGAATTATTAAAAATGCCTGGTGTTTTTTTCGGTGCGCTCGGAAAAAAAGCTAATCTGCGCCGTGCAATAAATAAGTGACGCGAAATAGCCTCGCCGCGGATGCACGCGCTTTTAACAAATTGAAACGCGTAAATCATCACCACGAATATACGTGCAAGGATGATACAAAGGTACTGTGAAAACGGTCGATTCGCCTTTTTCCGTTTCACCCGAAAAAATAGAGGCGAACCACAATCGGCGAATTATACGAGTCGATTTATCAAATATCGCACGACCGCAGAGCGAAGCGATTCGCCGAGGCAATTACTTAGCTGTAGATCTCTGAGCCGCTCAATTTTTGCCAGAGGCTGAAAATCAGAGATTCGAATTTTTCGTGCAGATTTATCAAACTAATATTTTCAATTTCAAGGAAAAATCTAGAAGTTGAGAATGACGATATTACGAAACAATAAAAATTTTTAAATAAAAACAGTGCAAATTTTAACTCTGTCTAAAAATCATTCAAAAATGTGGTATAAAAAAATTAAAATAAAGCTGATGAAAATATAATGTTGTGTGAATACAGTGCATTTTAATTAATTGAAAGATTCAGACAGGATTCCTTGTATTTTATTTTTTTGAAAAAATTTAAAAAAATATTTATCACTTTACGAGAGATTGATCTGATTCTTCCGCAGCTAAATATATTTTCGTCTTTTAATTGTTATAGATATTAATAATCAATTTCAAATTTTTGCCACAAAATTTAAAATTATTTCCGTGGTAATTTTTGTGAATAAAGAACATTGCAAACAATTTTAGATCAAAAATATGATGCTCAATTTTGTACAAAAATAAAATCGCAATTACAAATAATTTAAATTTAACAAAAAAATTCATTGCTCTTTTGTCGTCATGTGATAACTTATCAAAAATTTAAAGAATTAATTTTCTAGTTATTATTTTTTTTTCTGCTCAGAGATCTACTTTTCATGGGGAAAATACACATTGTGTGGATGTAATGTATTTTAGGAAAGAGATTCTAGCTATAAATATTTGGAATATTAGCGGAATCAATCTTGTCGGCTATGCAATCCGGCGGGCGCGGCAGAAGCGCAGGTTGCATACCCGCAGCCGCGTCAGGCGCTCTCTCCACTCGCGGCGGCGGCTTTTTGTTGTGATTTATGTTTATGAAAACGGTGGCGGTGTTTGCGTGCGTGTGTGTTCAAAATATATATCTCTCTTGTGGAGAGAGCGGCGGAATTATTAAACCAGCTGGGAAGCAAAGGGCTTTGCCGAAACTTTGCGCCTGCCATTTATTATCCGAAAGAACGCTTTTTCCTTATTAAAAGGACTTGGAAATTCGCGGTTTGCTTTGAGCAAACTTTTAATTTGAGGCGTAAACGCCTGTCGCGCTAAACTCAACCACGCGCATATTTCGTCGTCACCAGCCAAGAAAGAGAATAAAGGTTTTTTCATTCTTTTGGCAATAATTTAGTCAAATTGCAAAATTTAATGAAACTTTGATGTTAATGTCGAATTAGCTAGCCATAGGATCAATAAAAATGATTACGATAATTTTCTACACCATCTTTTTAATTATCAAATAAATTATTAGTTTCTGTTTTAAACGGTAGCTGTAATAATTTTGACACATTAAATAAATTATTGATTAAATTGTTATTTAAAATTTTAAAACCTTTTTATAGACAATTGGAATTTTATGTAATAAATTTTTTTTTAGATTATATTAAAAAGCTATTCTAATTTTTTATTTAAACAGTACAATACCCATAGCCATAAAGATCATAAAATTAATAAATTTACTCCTTTGACTATTATATCGTCTTCATTTATTTTGAGATATCAGTATTAAGTTTTCCCTAATTTTAATTTCCCTGTGATTTTATAGAATTGAAAACTTGCTCGTGTTAAGACAGTTTAATGAAAAAATTGGGAATCAACTTAACAAATATTTCAAATCTTGGACTGTAAAAAATATTTTGTCGAACCTTCAATGTAAGACAAAACTGTTTACTATATAAATTCAACAGATTGGAACAAATGTAATTTCCTTAGAAAATTCTCCAATATAAAACTAGATTTGTAAGTGCCAAACCAAGTTAGGCTGCAATCAGCAGTAAAACCTTCAAACCCATGCCGCACTCAATTTGGTCTACGATTGAGAGACGCTTGAGTTCCAGCACCAATCCCATTCCACCACACACAAGTTGAAATCTCTAATTCTGACACGACACCCGCAGACGTTTTGCCCAACCAAGAGCGGCTGTCTGGAAAAAAAGCACTAGATTTTCTCGCGCTCTCGCCAGAAAAGAAATAGAAAAAGGGGAAACGCTGGACGAGAGGGCGTAATTTTCCGTGGCCATCCAATAAATTTCCCACTTGGGTCCTGTCAAGTCCAAGAATGTCAACCAAATTGAAAAGCTCCCGGGATAGGAAAGGTAATCCAATAAACTCTTTCTAGGTCTCAATTAGACTCGAGGAATAAATCGCGAGCCAGATTTTCGGCCGCCGTGATAAATGGCTTTGGTCTTTAGCTATTTCCGTCAGCCAATATTAGCACAGCTTGGCATTTAGTTAATAAAAAACGACGGCGTGCTTAAATTGGTTTTTGAAAGGTGTCTGCAAAAAAATCTGACATTATTCAAATTTATTGCCAATGCAATGAATAATCAATATGGTATATTTTCGGCATAAAAAATCTTTTTTTTCATCTGCATAACTCGCTGTTGAATCATCAGAATAAAAATAAATTTATTTGAATAGTTAAATAAATAAATATTTAAAAAAATTAACGAGACAGACATTTTCTACTTTAAGTTATGAAGTTTTGCTTCAGTTTCTGAACGTTGAGTTTTTTTCTCAGCAACCTTTTTGTGACAACTGTCGCAGAGAGCAGTAAATTTCAAGAGCACAACTGATATTAACATAAACTCTTGAGCTGCCGCTTTTTGTTTGTAAATGCATGTATAATATTCCACCAGAGCAATCAGCCTTGATGGGAGGAACGGCGGTTGGCAGCAACTCTCAAAGGAAACTCACTTTGTGAGTACTATTTTGAGCAACACCAGCAACAGTTTGTGAAGGAATTTTAATATTAAATAAAACTCTTTTTATATCAATTATATCATTAACTGTTTAAAAAAATAAATTAAAACCTGCTTGTGGAAAGTGAAAAGTTGAAAAAAAAAAATGATGCACTATAATTATCATAAATAGTGAATTTCATAAAAAAAATCCATGCTTAGCTTCTTTAAAAAAAAAATTTTACAATTTTTAAGCCAATAAAAATATTCAAATTCTATAAGCCAGTATTTATTATAATTATCAATCATTAATAATTTAAAAAAAATCAAATTCTGATTTTTTTTACTAAATCAGGATTTTCGTTTACTGTTGAGGGAATCGGTGGAAAAATTTAAGGACGCTCAGCATCCTCAATTAATGAGCGTTGAAGGGAAAAGGCTTTTTAATCAACGAAACGAGCGTTTATACGACTTGCGTATTTTTTGTTCGCAACAGTAAAACGAAATGACATCTCCGGGAAGAGGTGGCGCCTGACTCGGGGGTTCGCGACGCGACTCATGACACGGTTTCGCGGAAAAGAAAAGGACAAGAAAGAAATGCAATCGCACTTACGTGTGGCGACTGTGCGACGGGCCGCTGCTCTCGCGCAGCTCCAGCGTGCTGCTGCTCGCGACCGATGCCTCTGGCTGACTGAACCATCATCCCTTATCGACCTCTACAGTGCTGCCCTGTAGTGTCTCTCACCCTTTCTACAGCCCCGTTATTTACGGCCGCCCAAATACACAAACAAGTCCCCGCTCGCATAAATGTGCGCGCGCGTATTTACCTAAGAGGATAATTTCTCCCTCCTGGGGGCCAGCATTATTATTTTTTTAATGAGGCCCTTTTTTTATTTCGTTTGACACAATAAAATTCCGAGCAAGTCCCGAAATAGCGCCGACGCATATATAATTATCGCGAGTGGCGCGCCGAGTGGATTTATAAATTATTCAGCAACTCAACTTTCGGACGCGTGTTTCGCAGTTTTGTTTGCTCGAATATGTCACAAGGTGAATTCAATGCGCATCAATCATTCATTCTCGGTTCATCGATTGCCGATTTTTTCCACGGCTCGCTGCTTTTCTCTCTGTTGGTCCTCGGTCGTGAATTATTTATGCGAGGCTGCTGCATATTTTATGCGAAATCACCAAACGAGGTAGAAAAAGAAGAACTTTGCGTCTTTTCTTTTTATCTCTCTGGCGTGGGCTGAACTTCTTCTTCTTCTTCTTGCCTGTTTATTCGGCGTGCGACGTTTTCTCTTTGTGGGAAAGCGAAATGTTTGTCTTCCTTTACTGCTTGGTGTGTTTTTCGGACTAATGTTTGCACGCGTGCATTTATTATTTCGGCGTTTCTCGCATTTGCAAGTGCGTGTTTGCAGAGCATTAAGTAATTAGCCGAATGACGCATGCATATTGACAAGCTCAGATTGTGACGTTGAAAAGTTAGTAAATTTTTAATTCCGTCGGTAACAGAAATGGTGTTGCTCTTTCGTAACAAGTTATATAATTGTAAATTTAGTATTCGCTTTTAAACCAAAATTTCAATATTTATTTTGAAATAAAATTTATATTAATAAGAATTATTCTTGAATCTTTTTTTATACATTTAGTAAATTTTACATGTTTGTATTTGTACTTCCAAAAACTGTAATTTCAAAGCAACCACAAGTTGTGTTAGAAAGTCCGTTAGTTGTTAGTCTAGCGGTTTCTTTTGCTTTGAATAATAATTTTCATTCTTATGTTTACAAACATCTCCCAACGAATATTACCAAAGATTATTGCGGTTAAACTAATATATTAAATAATTACTTTGTTTCGTGTAGAATTTTAAGCTCGTAATTCTCAGCTCTGGTCTTCAAATTTGAAAAGTTACCTCGAAACCAGAAATAAAATTGATTCGTTAAAGCTACACGCATGCAAATCCAGAGTTATCATTTTATTTTCAGTTGGTTATAATTTTGTAATGCCAATTTTTAACTAGTTTTTTGTGATCCCCTTTTTGCAATTTTTTCTTAATCAAAATTTCAATCCAACACCAATTGTGGCAATTTCCCTAAATCGTGAATTTTTGTTTCGTATTAAATATTCCAATTTAATTCAAGAGCCATTTTTTCATTTAAGAAATTTATGTAAATTATCATTTAATGTGTCAGTACGCTCTTGTACTAAATTAATTAAGGCTGACTCTTCTATTTTGCAAAAATTTCTGCGCATTATAACTCTATATTAAAGTCATTATGTCGTAATGGTGGGCAATAAAGGAACGTATAACGTAAACGTTCCATATTGCCAGTAATTATTTTGATGAGCGCGTCGGCCGGTTTGAATTTAATCTAACTTGACGCAGGGCAGCTCATAAATTTCCGGGCTGCCCAACGTGATGAGCTCTGGCACTTGGAAAGTGAAGCACCGGCCAAACACTTCTGATACATGCCAACCCTTATTCGCAACATCCATGACAAACGGACGGGTTTGGAATATGTACGAGCAGAAACATGCATTTACAATCAGCATGATTGCATCGGAAGCTCGCAAGCCTCAATTTTAATTACTGACTCCGACCGTCGCTTTCACCCACGCGATTTAACAACAGCCGCATCCGTGACAGGCGAACAAACGGAAAAGCAATAATGCGACAAAGATAAAAAAAAGAAAGAATGTTTCATAAAAACCAAAGAGAGGATAAAATATTTTTCATCCAAAATAATTACTTTGTAGGGAAGGGGGGTTTATAATTGTCAATTATTTAAAGAATTTCAAATTATCAATGAATGAATTTGAAAATTTGAAAAAAACACAAATCAAATTTTACTTTGTGCTTCCAAAAAAAAATTTAGCAGCTTGGAGTAAAATTCCTTAAAATAATGAAGTTACTTGACAGAAATAAATTTAACATCAAATGAAAATGAATTATCATATCTTATGAAAAAAAGTAATTTTAAAAATTTTGATTCAAATAATTATAAAATTCCCGTCTTTGTTTTATTTCAACAAGTCAGTGCATATTTCATTTAAAAATATTAAATTATTTTGTCCTTAATAATCACCTGTTTTTCCCATCCTTAGTAAAATAAATATTGGTGAAATAGGGTCACATCCCCAATTCATTTTGGTTTCTGTTATTTTTTAAATATATTTCCCTCTGAAAAAATTTAAACTGTAACTGCACATTGGCATCGTTTCCTTGTAAGTATTAAATAATTTGTAAATTAAGAGCAAATTTTTTTGTAACATCTTAAGTTAAATTCTCGGTGTGCTATCGCGCCGGAAAGTGAGATACGTACAAGCACGCGAGGGAATGCGCACGTTAATTTATTTCGTCGCGGAAAGTGCCTCGCTGGCGGTCGGTCGTAGAGCTCTTGCCATCGAGGCACTCTCGTGTTTGCCTGCATCACTGGAGCCAACTCGCGCGCGCATTATAAAGCACACAACACACACGAGCCAGCACGCACTCGAATCCTTTCGCCGTCCGCGCGAGACACGCCGCGCGTCCTTTGTTGGCTGCCGCTCTTCCCTCTTGGTGAGTTGTCAACCCGTTTTGACGCGACAACACGAAAGGCAAGATCGTAATTAATTTCCATTGCGCGCATTCCCTCGCGTCCTGCTCCACGCGAGATGAGTTTCGAGCCTGCAGATTGCGTCACTTTTGCAGCTTTTGCATTTTCGCCAGCAGACTTCGTAGCTCGCTTTTCTCATGTGCATGACTTTCTGAACAGTGTCGCGTATTCAAAACATTTTCCTCATATTTAAATTCAATAGTAACCCAAATTTTTTTTATTATTATTATTATTTCATTTTTTTTTTTCGCTATTGACATTTTTATTTCCCTCTCCTTTCGATATTGGGTGGATATATTTGGACTTTATAGAAAGAAAAATATACTCAAAATAACGCGCCTTCCGAAGACCCTCGTCTCCTTTTTCCCGTTGATCGCGTCCGCTCCGAGTGAAGACCCTTCCGAGTTATAAAGCACTTAACTCTTCTTGATCCTCAGAAAAAGAGAGGAAAACTACTATTCTGGAATATATCTATCAATCTCTTTCCCGTGGCGCGGTGTTTTACGCCGGTTCGTTCCCCGAAAGGTCCCTGCCCTCTTGGAATAAAATTTTGTCTCCGACGATGTATGTAATTAGCCAATCGAGGGATAATATTTTTTTTTCGATCAACCCGCGGCTTTGGTGCCCTATGGGGAGAGTCCGTCGTTTTGACGTGAGTGCGCCGCTTGACATGATTAATCTGGGCGCATTTGTGCATAAGTCCGCGCGTTTGATTGATGAATGCGTTGTTGTATTGCGGTGGCGGCGGCTGCTGGATGATTGCATGTCGGGGCATTCCTGGCTCGCGGAGTCATTGATCTCTCCTCTCGAGCAACACCAGCTTGCCTTGAGGCACCACACTCTCTATCAAACCAAGTTCAATGTGTGTGTAACCCTAGCAGCACCGACGATATTTCGTTACCTAGCCGGCTCTTATTAATTCCATATCTCGGCTATTTGCTTACTATAGAAAGAAAGCCTCTACATACTTTATTATTCATTTTAAATTAAACAACGATTTTCTTTAGTAAATCTTTCAATACGTATGGAATATTACCAACAACATTAATTCCATTAATTCTCAGCTAATGTACATAGAAAATTAAAATTTTTAGATTTGTTAAATTATTTTCTGAAAATTAGTCTGTTGTGGAGTTAAATAAATAAAGTGGAGATTAAAACAAGAACAAAAAAAGATTTAAATTTTAAATTCCTAATTTTCTTGTAATCATGTCACTTTTAACTTATATGTACTAAAATTAAATTCAACAGTTCTTTATGCTGCTTTGAGCTTTTGAAAATTGTTATACTTATATCATTTTTATTTTTATTGTTTTAGGTTTTTTAATTGAAATACATTTTATTTCTGTTCAACATTATTATTTCCTTTTTTTATTTCATTAGCTATACATTTAGAGCCTAAACTTCTCAGAAGATACATATTTAATTTTAATCTTTTGCTTTGTTTCCACGCTCTGTTTAAAGATTCAAACTCACGAGATTACAAAAATAAACAATACATTGGAATAGTACAATATTTTCATACTTATATAGTTATATAAATTTAAAAGTTCATTTAAATTTTCAATAAAATCTCTTAATTTTTCCAACATTGTACATAGAGATTCAAACCAGATGAAATGTGACTAGTTGGAAAGTACATTTTTTTTATACAGGATTATATTGAGAGAAGAACTTACTAATAATTACAAAATTAAAATTATTCTTTTTTTTTCAAATACAACAAAATATGTATTTTCGTTCCATCTTCATCACACATTATCATACAACTGGGATTATTTCTTATAACAGCAGAAATTCAACGATATTGATTTATATGTTAAGGTTGAATTGCTCTATGTTGAATTAAAAAAATGCGAAAAATGAAAATTCTTTGTTCAAAAAGTTTTTAAGATTCACGAAGATTCAGATTCTGAAGGCTCAGAAGAACATGTTTACAACATTCATTGTACGGTCGAAATTTGGAAAAAAAATTTTTAGAGGGTTTGGTTCTAAACCAAAGAAATACCCAAGCAGTTCTAATTTACTATTTAAATTGCGAAATGATATCACATGATTAAATCACTAACGGATGGTCTGCGACATGTGCAGCGGCGTCAGCATGAGCTCGAAAGCCGCGTCCTTCAAATTGGCACCTCTCAAATTTGCCTCGTGCAGGTCAGACCCTGACAGGTCGCAGTTTTCCAAATCGGCCCCTGCCAGAACGGCCGCCCTGAGGACGCAATTCTGCAGGTTGGCATTTTTCAGGGTGGCGACCCTCAGGTTGACCCCAGCCATATTCGACCCTTCCAGGTTTGCACCTTTCAGGTTCACGCTCTCCATGTTGGCACGGCTGCCTGCTGGGTCCTCAAAATTGCAACTCCGGAGGTTGGCACCCTCGAGGTTGGCGCACAGCATTTTGACACCCAACAATTGGGCTCCATCTAATTGCGAGTGGCTCAGGTCGGCCCTTTCGAGGCAGCACCAACTCAGGTTGGCTCCCATGATGCGACAACCGTGCAGACAGGCGTACTTGAAATTGATGTAACGCAAATCCAACCTCGACAAATCCGATCCTGCCAAATTAACACCCTGAAAATTAATTCATTAATTAATTTTAATATTAAAATTTTATTGTTATTATTTTGACAAAAAGGTACCTGGAACCTGAGCTCTGTTGTGAAGGGTGTTATAATCAGGGCGTTGATTACATCTCTCCGGCCCAAAGGTGCCAGGTCACGCGACCTGTGCATTTGGCTAACAATATTCTCAAGCTGGGGAATCAGACTTTCAACCCCGTAGAACCTGGCTTCCTCCAGGAGACCCTCAGGGCTGACGTTTGAGTTGTAGACTAATTTCCCGTGCCTTAGATAGTTTAAAATTGGCTCAAAATACTGGGGGCTCCGGTCAATCAGATAGGCGCCTTCAGAGTCTTGATTGGCCGGGGTCATCCCTGAGCCGAACATCCGAGCCAGCATCGAAGAAGGCTCTTTGGCCACAAGGGTGGATCTGGTGGTGCTGAATCGAGTTCCGCCGACGTTCAGCACGAGCCAATCTGACGAGTTTTTCAAACTCTTGACTGGACGGGCGGTTGACCCTTTGAAGTCTTCGCCCTCGGACACGTAGAGCACGTCATCGTCCCTCAGAAGTTTCACATCGTCAATTTCCCCGCCTTGTGCGGTGAAAAGTCTTTTGGCCTGGATCGAGAATTTGGCACTGGCCGAGGTTAGAAGGTCTTCCAAGGAATGGGTGACCAAGAAAACCTATAAAATAAACGTTATTTTATTTTCCCAGCTTAATTTTTTTCTTTCGCTCTGAAAACATACCTTTCCGTCCACTTCGGTGCCATTTTTAAAGAGGACAACCCTTTTCATTCCGAAACAGTCTCGTGGAAGACAAACGGGCCGATATTTAAGCAAATCTGAAGCACTTCTGCCGTTTGTGCCTCTCTTTCTAGTTTTGTTGTGATGTGAATAAAAATAATCAATGTTTTTATTTGTACACAAAGCAGTTCAGCAATGCTGATCGATGATTATCAAAAAATTTTAATATTTACTAGATTTAAAAGTTTTACACGCAAATTATTATACTTTTGGAAATTTTGAAAGCAGAATAGCAGTAGAAAAGCGTGAAAAAATCAGAACCTTAACAAATTTCTCCTGGGAAAACTTTATTTTTGGCCTTCCGGCTATTTTTTTGAGCCCCGCCCCTCCCCTCCAGCTGTTTGTGACGTTTCTAAACATCAGACGCACCGCAGCCACGATTTTGCGATTATATCTGTGATTCACACCTTCACGTGTATTGTATTATGAAATTTCGGCCGCATTGAGCACGTTATTTTGCTTTTATATTTTTTTGTAAGTGGAATAACATTTCTATTTAAAATTTTTCTTTAGCAAAACGTTATTATCGTGGTACTTTTACGTTTTGGAAAACTCTTATTTTTTTATGTACACATGCAGTGTATAATTTTTACTTTTATAATAATTTTAATTTAATTTCACCGGCGTGTTTATAATTATGAAATATCTTTTCTCCTGTTTAACATGCGCTCACGACTCACGATAGCATTTTATTATTTAAATCAAGACCGAGAAAAAAACATAGCCTTGATTTTGTGATGCGTACAGTGCAGTGCTCTTTCAATGTTTTGCTTTCTCAGCGCAATTTCATTTATAAAATCTCATTTTCTTGTGCTCTTTGCTTTCAGACTGGAGACCGCTGCCCAGACACAATGGTCATAAAGAAAATCTGCTGCATTGGCGCCGGCTATGTGGGTGGCCCAACCTGTTCGGTGATGGCCCTCAAGTGCCCTGACATTGAAATCACCGTGGTTGACCTCAGCAAGGAACGCATTTCCCAGTGGAATTCAAACGACAAGCTACCGATATACGAGGTGAAATTAAAAATTTAAATCTGATTTTTTTTTAATTCAGGGTAATATAATTTTTATTGCAGCCGGGCTTGATGGAAATAGTGCAGAAGTGCCGAGGACGTAATCTCTTCTTCTCAAATGATATTGTCTCGGCAATCAAGAAGGCAGACCTCATTTTTATATCTGTCAACACTCCAACCAAAACTTTCGGCTTAGGGAAAGTAAGTAATGCTACAAAATCAGAAGTCGGTAGTGATTAATATTTTACTGCCGTCATAAATTTTTCCTTGCTTGCACTTCTTTCTTATCAGCAGTAAATTCTTCTGAAAGATAACCAAATTGAAAGAAAAAAAATTAATCGACTAATATCAATGAGATCGTGCGTCAATAAAACACTTGCTTTGTTGCAGGGCCGAGCTGCCGACTTGAAATACGTTGAAGGTGCCGCCCGTATGATAGCGGAAAACGCTGAAGGCAGCAAGATAGTTGTCGAAAAAAGCACGGTGCCTGTCAAAGCGGCCGAATCTATCATGAGTATACTGAAGGCCAATAACAAACCAAACAGCTCATACAGGGTACTGATAGCCAGAATATGAATAAAAAGCAAATTTTAATCAAATTAGTTTAGATTCTGTCCAACCCTGAATTTTTGGCCGAAGGAACTGCTGTCGAAGATCTGATCAACGCTGACCGGGTGCTCATTGGTGGCGAAGAGTCTGCCGAGGGCCAGGATGCGATTCGCGAGCTGTCGTGGGTCTACGAGCACTGGATCCCGAGTTCAAAGATTGTGACCATGAATACTTGGTCGTCGGAACTCTCGAAACTTGCTGCAAATGCCTTCCTTGCCCAGCGGATCTCGAGCATCAATGCCCTCTCTGCTGTATGCGAGTCGACTGGTGCTGACGTGTCGGAGGTTGCACGGGCCATCGGACTTGACAGCAGGATCGGTCCAAAATTCTTACAAGCCTCTGTTGGTTAGCTTTTTTTAATTAATCAATATCAAAAGGAAAATAACAATTTTTTCCAATTCATTTTGCAAGGTTTTGGTGGCAGCTGTTTCCAAAAGGACATCCTTAATCTGGTGTACATCTGTGAATGCCTTAATTTGCCTCATGTAGCTGCCTATTGGCAACAGGTACTCATTTCATCATCAATCAATCTTCTCATAAAATAATTATGTCCAAATTTCCAGGTGATAGATATGAATGAGTATCAAAAAACAAGATTTGCCGAAAAAGTGATTGCTTCCTTGTTCAACACTGTGACAGGCAAGCAGATAGCGCTGCTTGGATTTGCATTTAAAAAGAACACGGGCGATACTCGTGAGTCGCCTGCAATTCACGTTGCAACTCATTTGCTAGCTGAAGGTGCCCACCTTCACATATACGATCCCAAAGTAGGAACAATTTTTTAATAATCGGAATGATTTTAATAATAAAAAGTTTATCCAGGTGGAGCACTCGCAGATAATTGACGAATTGAACAGCTCAACCCTGGATCCTGACAAGATCAAGAGGAATGTAATCATTCACACAGACGCCTATTCTGCTATCAAGAATACTCATGCATTAGTTATTTGCACGGAATGGGATGAGTTTGTTGTAAGTTTCTTGTCATTGCTTAATTTTCTGTGTATAAAATTATCTTTTTACAGTCTCTGGATTACGAAAAGATACATTCGGACATGATGAAACCTGCATACATTTTTGACGGGAGAAAAATTCTGGATCACGATTATCTACAGAAACTGGGCTTCCAGGTGCAAACTATTGGCAAGAGACTTAACCGAGACCTCGGCAGGTCATGGGGCAGCCAGAATCACCAATCTTAGCAGGAGGGGTGGTTTTTTGGTTGAATTTTACTGCGGCACTCAAATTTTATATTCTTTTTCTGGACTTTATCACCAGTATTCAGTTTATGCATTTTTAATAAATTTTATATTCAAATTTTTATGAAAAAACCAATCTTTTGCTGTAACTTCCATTGAAAATAATAGGTTTGTAAATGAAAAAGTGGTTGCAGTTTATGTTTTCCTAAAATTATTTATTTTAAAATGCGATGATACAGTTGCGATTCATGATATAGACACTCGTAGATTTCTTATATTGCCACGGCCAACAGGAATAGGCATGTTCTGAATCCTACTATTCACTCCTGGCCTGGTAGTCACAGTCTCTCCACTCGGCCCCCTGGATGTCCCATACGAGCCACCAGATTGTCCACTGCAAATTCAACATCAAACTAATTATCGTAAAACAACTTTTTTTTAGTTGAAATTACCCAGTCTTCTGTCTTTTGTTGGCAGGACCTCCTGCGCCTCCTCTTGCTCTCCTCTTTTTTCCAAACTTCCGCCCTCCAAATCCCCCTCTTCCTCTGAATCCTCCTCTGCCTCTCCTGCTGTAATTGCCTTGGCTTTGCATGCCAGAAGTAGACGGAGCATTGATTGCCATGAGATCTTGACTCTCGTCAAAATCATCATCGCACAGGTCTGCCGCAACAGCAGCAAAAACTTCTAAAGACAATAAATAGTGATTTGAGTCTATAATTTAAAAATGCATACCTTGCTGGTTAGCTGCAAAAGTTCTTGTGATTTCCAACATTTGAAGCCCAAAGATGTTGAAGTTTGTTTGAGTCACATGAGGAATGTTCAACATCTGCTCTTTAGTTTCTGGCAATTTCTTGGACATTTCAACCAGGGCCTGCATGATGAATATTTTTATATGTTTCCAAGCATATTTTTAGGTTCCATCTCTTTACCTGAGGGTTTGCAATGGTGTGTGGAGATTTTCCCATTGAAGTGGCGATTTCACGAAGTTTCTCCTGCAGGGCCTTCAAGCAACTGGTCTGAATGTCTTGCAAGATTTCTTCATCGTGACTCAATTTGTTCAGCACAGGAGTTCCAGGCAATGTTCCGTCTTTTGGCTTCTTCACAGCAAACGTGAACTATATAATATTGGAAAAGAAATTTATCATATAGGAAAGATCCAAATAAAAAAAAATTACCTTGGCAAGGGAATAAATTTTGTTGTGTTGAGGACCGAGACGCAGATATGCAGCGGTTCTGTCCTCAACGGTTGCCAAGTACTCTTCCGAAAGATAGTTTTCCACAACAAGGTTTTGCAGCAGACGTTCAATGTCTGGTTTATTGTAGTTTACTGCCTTTCCGTACACTGACAGTTGGTCGTGCCCTAAAATATATTTGTTAATTTTTGTATGCAAAAATTGGAATTCTTATTAGTACCAGAGTTGAGGGTTCTTTGCGACTTGGAGCCTTTCAAGATATTGGCCATGTCAAGTTGTGTAATTCGAGTACCGCTACCAGGGTAACCACAAGCAGTAGTGGCACACTGGACAATTTCCTTTGCCAGCTCTAAGAAGTCTCGCTCAATGTACTCTCCCTAAAATATCAAATTAATTAGTTTCTGCAGTTTCTGCTACACAGAAGATTTAAAAATATATACTTTGTTCAAGCAATTATCGCAAGTTGTTCGCCTGTCCTTCAAACAGAGTTCTCTATTGAAGTTTTCACCAAAGTATCTCAGCTGCAAAACTCGACGGCAGTCCAATTTGTTGGTGCAGAATGCTTGCATTCTGTACACATTGTCTCTGTGCACTTGGATGGACTCTCGACTCTTGCCATCACCTGGAATGCAGAAGTATATATTTTTTTTTTTAGAAATTGGTCTTTTCTTTGAATTTACTCTCAATCAGTGAAATGATTTTCTTCACGTCTGCATAGCTGTAAAGCAAGATGCAATGAGCAATTTCTCCGTCTCTGCCAGCTCTGCCTGCTTCTTGATAGTAGCCCTCAATCGACTTTGCCAGTGAATTGTGGATGACGAATCTAACGTCAGGCTTGTCGATGCCCATTCCAAATGCAATTGTCGCACAAATCACCTTTTCATCCAGTTTTCAGTTTTATTAAAAAGTTCAGTTTAACTAACATTTCATAAAATACCTTCACAGTTCCAACAGTCCACAAGTGCTGAATGTCATTTCTCTGCTTGTCAGTCATTCCAGCGTGATAGGCTCCTGCTTTGATGTTGTGCTGCTTGAGTTTTTCTGCAGTATTTTCACAGTCTTTGCGCGAAAAGCAGTACACGATTCCACAAACGTTTCTGCAAATTGGTGTTAGCAGCAGTTTGATGAGCTGGTCCTCCCCCGTCTTGGCTTTGGAAGTTTTTTCTATCACAGTGTATTTCAAGTTTGGACGGTTGAAGCTCGACAGGAACCTACATCCAAGGTATGTATCAAAGAGCATGTACAGAACAAATTAATTATTTACCATTTTGGGTCGTTCATTCGGAGCTGACGAAGAATGTCTGTGCGGACAACGTGAGTTGCGGTTGCAGTCAAAGCCATGGTGGGAATGTCTGGGAACTGTTCTCTTAATGCACTGAGCTTTTGGTAATCAGGCCTGAAATGAGGGGTTTGTTTTTTAGATTTATCCAGAACTGATAAAATCACAAATGTACCTGAAATCATGACCCCACTGAGAAACGCAATGAGCCTCGTCAATGACGAAACGACTCAGCCTATTCCGGTTGTACAGTTTTTTCAAGGCCTCCACTAAGCGGAAGCTCATGCTCAGTTTCTCAGGTGTCACATAGAGAAGGGTGATACCTTAAATTAATTCAGCATAAGCTACATTTTTTTCCTTGCAGTTTATAACAATTACCAGGATTATTACAGCTGAGTTGGTTATAAATAGAATTGTGCTTGTCGGAGTTCAAATCCCCTGAGAGGTGAGCAGCAGAAATCTAAAAATGATAGTATTTTAATTTAAGATGCTACATGTCATTAAAAATTTACCCCAAGAGTGTTGAGCTTGTTGACTTGGTCTTGGATGAGGGACTTTAATGGAGAAACAACGATAGTCACTCCACCAGTTACAAGGGCAGGAAGTTAGTAGCAGAGTGACTTGCCTCCTCCGGTAGGCATCAAAACGAAGCAGTTATGATTGAGAAGAGCAGCATTGATTGCTTGGAGCTGATTTGTGCGGAATGTGGACAAGCCAAACTTCTCTTTGAAAAGCTGGGGAAAAAGTGGAAAAATTAGCCTCAAATCTAAATATATTGTCATTAAAAAACTTACTCTTTTCATTTGATCACTGAAGGAGTGGTTGAAACCTTGGAAAGAAGGATTGTCCGCATCATTTTTCAGCCGCCCATGAAACTGACCCTTGTTTAGAGAAAGCTTTTTCTGAGACGCAGGTGACTGCTTGTGGAAGATTGCAGACATCAGATCTATTTCTTCTGGTGGCTTCGTAGATGCTATATTTTGGGATTAGTTCAAATTTCTAACAAAATAATTTATAATTACGTTGTAGGGCAGAACCTCCATTACTCTGATAATCAAAGTTCCGGTTGTCCTGGAAGCCCTCAGAAAAATCATTTCTATTGGCAGACATGTAGCCACTAGTTGAGGAGGATGCATGGCCACTTGTGTTCTGGTTACTTTCCCTACGTGGAGGAGTTACAAAAGTTGATTGCTCTTTGGGCGCTGCAGAGATTGGAATGACATCTTCTTGAGAAAAACTTGCCAGCTTCTTTTCTAACAATATAATTTTAGCTTTGGCCCGCTGAGCAGTAATCCTCATTTTAAAAACTGTTGTCGGTTTGATTTCCTTTAGGTCAAGCGAGAGCATCATAATGCACAGGTCTGGGAATTCGTTGTACACACTCTGCAACTTTTTCTTTGTCTCTAAAAGTGTCCATTGGTCCTAAAATTAAAATGATTGCGATGAATAATATTTTCATTTCAGTGATCAAACTTACATCATCTGGGTTTGACTTTAAAAGATCCACACTGGCAGCCCATTTGTTGACGTCATTCTCAAACATGACTAATTTTGATTCTAAAATCAAATTTTTATTACATTATTAACATTTAAAAAAAATAATAACGATACCTGGAATAACATCTGCAGGTGGTTTAGGAATATTACAAGTAGAGGTTGAAGGAGCAGTCTTTTTTGAAACAGGTGTAACATCAACGAAATCATCGTCATCATCGGGCAGGAGCAAGTCCGTGTCAAAATTGAAGAAATCGTTGGTAACGCTACTTGTCTTTTGGAAGCTTCCAGCAGATTCTACGTTGGTTTCACTTCTTGTCTTCTGAAAACTTCTAGCAGCTTCCACTAGAGGTTTTGGAGCCTTGGTTTTTGGTGCTAAATCTCCACCCTCTTTGGTTGAAAATTTGGAAGGTCGTAAATCATTTTCGGAAACAGCTTTTGGCATGCTTTTCATGACGTTGGAATTTTTCAAATAGAGTTCTTCAGTTTTGATGGAATTTCTATTTGGCTTTTCGCTGCCTAGCAAAACGCTTTTGACCAGCTCCTGCTTCTTTTGTAACATGGAAGGCTTCTTGAGCTCAAATTCAGCATTGCCAGTTGAGTTCACTGGGGCAAACTTTTTGCTTGGCTCTTTCACTTTGAATTTAGGCACATCATCCCAAATGTCATCAAAATCCTCTTCTTCAAATTGTGGTTCCTCTTTGCGTTGCCCTGGTTTTACCGTTTTCACGTCAACAAATTTGGCGGTGCTGGCTACAGGCTGCCGAGGAATGAACAAAGGTTTACGAGCTTGACTTAGAGACATTGGATTTCGCCTCTCTATCACAGGAGACTTGGATGGAGATTCGTCACTCGTTGCATCTTGGATCTGAAAATTTTAAATTAAAATTCTGAAATTGAATGAAGCTTCTTAGCGTTACTAACCACAAGGGCAGGATCAAAATCTGTTGCTTCCTCGTCGCTGCTTGATGATAAGAAGGGGTTTTCTTTATTTTTCTTCGGAGCTAAAAATAATTATTATTATTTTAAATTTTAATAAATATAAACATATAATACAAACCAGCAGCAATGTGCCCTCGTTGGGCCATTTTTGCTCCACTAATACCACTACTAGTACTAGACTTCTGGGCATTTTGTCCATTTCGAAAATCTAAAACATTTTTGACGCCTAAATGAAAAGAGTTAAAAATAATTATGTTTACTTTATAAGAAGACAAAGCATACCTCTCACTTCACGCTGCACAGGCAATTCAAAAATATCATCATCTTCGTCATCAAAAGGCGATTTTGACTTTGGCAACTGAACTTCTCCATGGGGTCGACTGAAAACAAAAATTTAATTTGGAGCATAATTTATAGAAACATCCTCAATAACACTATTGATCTGTGGGTGAAATAAAAATATAAAAAGCTAAAATATATTAAACTCACACTTTTGCGACGGGTTTCGCAGAAGAATTAATGGATGAACCAGTTTTCGAGGCTGCGGATTTTGGTTCAAAGAACTTGCTTATCGACGTCTGCACTGTGCGTTCGTTTTTGTTGTACAAACTCGGAAGTTTACGCTTGTTGAAGTCCATACTTCAGTTTAGTCTTGTTTAATGATTTAACATCATATTCTTGATTATATTTACGTTACATTTACATAAAAATCGCTCCAAAACTAAGATCAAATTCCAAATGAGATACAAGCAGCACTTTGTTTACATCTGTCATGTGTGACTTTCCCGGTTATTGGCAGTGAAAGCCATTTTAGCCAACACGATGAAGTCAAATATTACATTGAATTAATTTTACCTGATACAATTATTGCAAAATATGTGTTATTTATGTCATTTAGTTTTAAATTAAATCATTTTAAATCAAATTTTACTGAAAATCGAAAGATATTTGACAATTTTTTTGATTCGTTTAATTTTGCCAAGTTGCAATCTCGTTTTTTATAGCGCGAATGTGTAAAAAAATGTCTAAAACTTGATTTGCGGCAGAGACGTTGCACAGATTTATATTTTCTATTATTTTTGGCAGATTTTATTTTCTTTCTGTCGATTTATATTTTCATTTTAATTCTTCTGTGACTTCTGGATAGATCTATTCTATTCGCATTGTTCATAATGGGAGTTACTCATCTAGAAATCCAGCAGGATCCACAAAGGTGCGTGATTATTTTATGTGCAAAACTTATTTTATGTATTATTTTTTTCAAGAGTGAGCTAATATTTTACCTTTTTCACATCAGCACTTTGACAAAACAAGAGCTGTCTAACTACATCCTCAAATGGTTTCCATCAATGACTCTCTCCCAGGATGTATCGACAATTCCAGAAAAAAATATCCTTGATGACAAGGTGCTCCACAAAAATGTGACAAAAATACGGATATTTCAGCAAGGAATCAAGGTACATAAATTTTATCTGCCTTTGCATGTTCAGCTTTTGCGGGATTAAATTGAAGTAAAAATCTTAATAATACAATGTAATTTTTAATTTTGCGCTTAATATTATGTGTCTATAAAAATTAAATAAAACGGAATTCATGAAATTTTCAGGAAGAAAAGAATGCAGTTGAATGCCATGTATACCAGCTGGACGACACAGGTCCGCAAATGGACTACATTGAAGGCGAAGAGTCCATTCCATCAGCAACTCACTACATGCTGCCTTGCAAAGAGTTGGACAACATATGGGACACACTGGAGTATGATTCGGATGTCAAGGAAGAATTGCTCAATTTCACAAAGACGGCTATGCTCTTTGCAAAGCACAATGTTTGCGAAGACATCATAGCCATTAATAGGGTCGTGCTTTTGCACGGCCCACCAGGAACAGGCAAGACGACCCTTTGCAAAGCCCTTGCCAACAAGCTGGCTATTCGACTCTCGGAATCATTTGACTGCGGTCAACTGATTGAAATCAACTCTCATTCTCTATTTTCTAAGTGGTTCAGTGAGGTAGTATTTTTTCCTATAAATATAAATGCAAGAAATTGATTGATTTTACTCGAATTTAGTCAGGAAAGTTGGTCATGCAGATGTTCTCCAAAATCAGGGAACTCATCATGGAGCCAAACTATTTCTTGTGCGTTTTGATTGACGAGGTTGAATCTTTGGCTCACGCAAGGAACGCAGGGTCGTCGGACGCTGAGCCAGCCGATTCAATGCGAGTGGTAAATGCTCTTTTGACCCAGATTGATAGCATCAGGAAGTAAAAATTTAGAATTTTAACATCTCGGCCTTTTTTATATTTAAATATTTATAGGTTCCCAAATGTGCTAATTTTGACCACTTCAAATGTGACGCAGGCCATTGACTTAGCTTTTGTCGACAGAGCCGACATAAAAAAATATATCGGTCTTCCATCTGCCCAAGTTTTGTACAAAATTTACAAGAGCTGCATAAAAGAGTTGATTAAGGTAAATAACGAATTACTTCAATGTTCCTACAAACTGTTTTGTTACTCGATTGATTATTTTAGAAAGGGCTTATTGCCTATGAACAACTCTCGCAAAAAGATGAACCCATTTTGGAGGCTGCCGAAAATGATTTCCTGATGGAAATTGCCAAGTAAGTTGGTGATTTATAGTTATAAAAAAGAGAAAAAATAACGAAACTCTGCTATTAGGAAATCACAAGGGCTGAGCGGACGGAATGCTAGGAAACTTCCTTTCTTAGGCTATGCAAAGCATATAGCCACTGTACGTCCTGACACAATCACATATTTGAAGGCTTTGGAAAAAGCTGTCGAAGAAGAGTTCAACGACCGTAAGATGTTATCCGCTTAATAATAAAATAAAAAATAAGTATTTGCATAATCAATCGCATTGGGAGTCAAATTCAATTCTGTAAAGTTTACCAAACAGTGTAAATTTATTGGTACGCCTTTTTATGAGTAACATGGTGAATATAAATGTTGCTATAATACTTGATACTGATCACTTACTTAACTCAAAAGGTTATTGTTGGGGTGACGTTCAATAAGGGTATAAATGTAATATTTTAAATTGTCATAGATTAATATTTAAAACAAAAATAGCCTTAATTATATCTAATTGGATGGAAGAATTCGTTTAGCGACCTTGCTCCTAAGAAAACGTTCAATGTGCGACCCATCCCAATAACAATGACCACAGCCCTGACAGACTCGAAAGATTTCAATCTTACCCAGCAGAGCCCGAGGGATTTTCTGGTGCTTTACTGGAATACCATCTATTTCATGGATGTCTGCATCAATCAGTGACACGATTTGGCTGCACGTTAATTCCTTGAAATTTCCTCCGTTACATCCCTGTGATAAATATTTTCATGCCTTCAATTACTTTTGCATTTTTAAATTTTAATTATCCACTTACCATGCACCTTGCAAAAATGTCACTTTGGCTCACGTGAATATTGAAGAAGCGCAGAACCTCATCGACTTGCTCTTCAACATAATGGGAAGAAATATTTATCACATGCCCCTCTGGCAGCTGACTAGCAAACTGAAATTTTTAAATATAAAAGTAAGCATTTCTGTCGTTTCATTATTAACAAACAGTTTACCTCTTGAAATGACTTTCCGCGAGTAATTACATATCGGCTTTCCATTAGTGCCACTCGGACACAGTACGAGTGTTGAACTGGATTAGATACTAACTTTGTGTCAATACCCAGCTTACGCATATACTTCCCAAGACCTTGTACCATTATATCACAAAGGAGTTTTGCATCTTTTGCATGTAGTTTTGGTCTAGGAGAAAGTTGATTCGGACTTTTCGGTATCGCAACGCACGAACTCTCGGGTTTACTAGGAGACTGTAAAAATTTAATCTTTCAACCGTAGGTTCAATTTAAAGAGAAAAACCAAATTTTTAGATTTTTAACAACCTTTCATGCTCTATTTTTAAGCCACTTATATCCAATAATTAAGGCATTTAAAAAAGAAAATGAAAAGCCAAACATCCAGTAAAAGAAATTTAGACTCAAACGCATATTATAATCTAAAGCAAATTAGTCCTTTCAGTCAAAACAGGAAGCACAGATGCTGGGATAGCCAAGCACGCCTCATGCAAACACATAACTTACGAAGGGCTTGAATGCATGAGGGACGGACTCTCGACATGCATCCTCAAAAGCAATGTTTTGCTCTCTGCAGCAATGCTTTAAGATGTCAAAAATTTGTAGAAGACAGTACGCATCAAGGGCTAAAATGTATATATTTTTTTAGTATTCATGATTATTGCACGGTTTAATATTTTATTTTTTTACCTGCATAGATGATTTGATTTTCTCTCAATGGTCTTCTCTCCCAGTTTGAAAACTGATTCTCTTTGTTCAAAGGCTTGCCTAAACATTGATAAACAAGACTTGACAAGCCTTGTCCACTGTCCTGGTTAGCTGCAGAATCTTAAGTGATTATTTAATTGTGTCAGGATGTTTTTTAAGCTACCTTTGTAAGGAAGTACAATATTGTGCATGCCTGCCAAAATGTGCCACATAGTTTGCAAATCCAAGTAGCCTCCAACATTCATTGTCAAAGGGCTTCCAATTTGGGGAAGGGAATTTTCAATAGCTTTAAGATCATGGCTCAATCCAAATCCTACAAGTAATTCAAAATTATGTTTTGTAAAAAATTAACTTGAAAATATATACCAAGTTTTAGCAAGTTCTTATTGAAGAAAAACTTAGCACCAAACTTGTCCAGCAATTCACTGCTCATTTGTCCTTTCAGAACAGAAATGTCAATCAGGAAAACTCTGTCTGGCAAGCTGACTTGGATAAGAGCTAGTTCAGGAGGCTTCCCTCCAAATGATGGTTTCCATTCAGCATCAATTCCAACTATACTTATGCCCTGATTTAAAAATTGAACAGTTTATTACATTTGAACGAAAAATTTAACTAGAAACCTGTAAGTTCTCATCCAAGAACATGGACAATCCTTTTGCAGTGTCTAAAATTAGAATACTTGAAAAGGGCAGTGGTAGTTGCAGAAATGTGTCTCTTTTAGAAACTGGTTCCTCCGAAGGCACAAGAGAGCTGCACAAAATTACCAATTTTATTTAGATAAATATTATTTTCCAATTTTATATTAAATACCTGCCGGAGTTCAAATCAATGTTGGCCTGCACATGCTCTGGGAGGTCCGATACCAGGATGTTGTAACGCTTCACCCAGAATGCTACATCTTTGTGGGCACCGTAGCCATGCACTCCTTGGATCAGTTCAATTTGCAGTTCTCTAGAATCTTTGACGGCTTCGTGAGCCATCTCTTGCCAACTCTCCTCGCCTGAAAAGTGGCAATTTCAAAACACGGTCACATAAAAAGATCAAATCGAACAAACCAATGGTCTTTTCGATGTAACGTTTCTTCAGCATGAAGAAAAGAGCTCCTTTTTTGTTCTTCTTATTCAAGTTTGGACAAAGGTCGGCCAGTCTGTACTTCTTCGAAAGACGAGAAACCAACTTTTTGAAGGTTTTGGGGTTGAAGTTGCCCAACTTCATGTTAGGTACTTGGAGATTCCTGTAGAAAAATTTTTTAATTTGAAAAACTAAATTTCCAAATAACTCACAAGCCAAGCTGGTGCAATTGGCTGATGTCATTCATGCCAAGGATATTGTCAAGTAGTACAATTAATTCTTTTTGATGCTCGGGGCTACCATCGAGAAATACTTCAGCCACATTTACTTTGTCTTGGAGGATAAGAGGCACGACAATTTGCTCCACACTATACTGAGAGTAGATTTGCCCCATAGAGGCCAAGTGACAAGCCTCTTTGTACTTTCTACGAGCCAGTTCATCATCAACCACTTTCTTTACGAGTTGAGGATCCTGGGCAATGTTGAAGACAGCATAGATGGTCTGGGATAAATTTGTGTCGTTGCAATAAGGTATCACTTTGCAGGCAGATAGTTTGACATCCTGGTCTAGACACTGGTACGCTTGCTGGTTATCGGCTAACCAGTATCGAAAGGTCATCATCACTGAAAGTACACAAATTTTAATGACTCAATTATTAGGTTTTAAATATTTAAATAATACCATCATGAGCCAATGTTATCCTTCCAGGAATGCCAAAATCTTCACAGCTTTTACAAATCATGAGCGACTCAAGGAAGGGGTTTGGGCTACTGTCCAGCTTGCTCTGCATGAGACTGAAGAATTGCTCATCCTTTTTGTCTGCAAAAGTAATAATTAATTATTGATGTGCTGAAGTCAGACATATTTTATACCATAGAGTTTTATTTTGAATATAAAAACTTACACATATTCCACAGCCTTTGCAAATTTGAACACCAAATTTTCACCTCGGCCTCATTGATGGCAGAGGTAGAGTTTGGACTCCAACCACTGGACCAAAAGCTGCCTAACTGTTTATGGGAAGCCATTATTTGTGGTTGCAATAATGGGAGTGACGTCCTGCAATATCTAAAAAGAAGAAGAGCAGAATTGCGATTTTTTTCATCACACTATAAAGGGAAAATTTTTAACGATGAGAAGAGAATCAGATTTCATTTGAGTACATGTATGCGGTAATCTACGCTCACTAAAAAATTATTTGTTATAAATAAAAATGAAATCGCTTGCAGAGTCGACAAGCATGCACATATTTTGTGACCCGACAAACAAGACTCACTTGACAAGGAAGATCGGACGTCAGGAAAAGTGAACGCATTAGTTCTTGTTGCGCCGTTTAATGAAACCTAAGGCATTCTTACAAGTCTATACTTGTTCAAATTTCCAAATCTGCGTGGTTATTGTGTCCTTTGGTTAAATTTTTAGTTTTTGGAGAACTTTAAGTTCTGTGCCAACGACCAATCAGAGAGCTGCAATCTGTTTTCCCAGCTGTTTTTAGAATCCCAAAGCTTTGATTGGTGCGCACAGGCCGCAAAGTTTACGGAGCCAATCACAAATCGACAGTCAAGGCGCGATTTTGGAATTTTGTTTACTTTTTCATCCACGTCCGCAAAAAGCGATTACACACACTACATACATATTTTTAGCTCACTAATTTCTCTCATGCATTTATCCTCTTTTAATCTTTAATAGACTATTCAAGTGATTCAGCTCTATGATCAGTCGTTTTTCATTTATGTGTAAAATTTCTGACGGAATTCTATAAGTTAATGAATTTGTTTAAAAATGATAATGAAGCATTCGGCACAAATCTTACGGAAGGAATTTGATACAACAGCACCGTGAGGTCGGAGAATTTTGACGTTAAGAGCCTAACAATGTCCGCAACACAAATTCTGATTGGCGACGAGGACCAAAAATCAATCCGCAAGAAAGATCACGATAATGAAACTAAAATTGTATGTTTCAACATCAGCCACTTCTCTCAGCAAGTCCAATTCCTTTTGTGCAGCGTGGCTGTTTTTGCATTTTACTTACTCTATGGATACATGCAGGTATGGAATAATTTAAATAATGTAAAAGTCTTTTAAATTTTTTGTTTCATTTCTAAGGAGCTCCTTTTCACCCTCGAAGGGTTCAAGTCAATGGGATGGCAACTCACACTGGTACAATTCGGATACTACACAATATTTGGAGTAATTGAAACGAGAATAAAAGATGACACGATAAGAAGGTATAATTTTTTTAATGTGCAAATAATTATTAATCGAAACAAAAATTCCATTTTATTTTTTTATTAGAATTCCGTTTAAAACATATTGCGTTCTTGCACTCTTGACCCTTGGAACCATGGGTTTCTCCAACTCTTCCTTGGGATATTTAAATTATCCCACACAAGTTATTTTCAAATGCTGCAAACTGATACCTGTGATGATCGGAAGCGTGCTGCTGCAATCAAAGAGATACGGCTTCCTAGACGTGTCTGCTGTTATTTGTATGTGTGTGGGACTGGTTCTCTTCACACTGGCAGACACAGAAGTTTCCCCTAATTTTAATGTGATAGGTGTGTAAATTACGCTTTTAAATTATTTTAAAGCTCTTAACGCTGAAACATAATATATTATGCTGCTTTTATTTTTACAATTTTAACGCAAAATGGTGTGCAGGTGTTGTGATGATATCTTGTGCTCTGCTTTGTGATGCCATTATTGGTAACTTGCAAGAGAAATCGATGAAAAGCCACAAGGCTTCTAACACCGAGGTTGTCCTCTACTCATACGGAATAGGATTTGTCTATTTGTTCCTAATTTTACTAACTACCGGAAATCTATTCCGAGGATTTGCTTTTTTCTCCGAGGTACAAATTCCTTTAGCCTGATATAATTTTGTCACTGATTTTCTTCTATTCCAAAAGCACCCTGTAGAGACGTATGGATATGCCCTAATTTTCTCACTTACGGGTTATCTGGGGATTCAAGTGGTGCTGACCCTGGTGAGGACGTGTGGTGCGCTTGCTGCAGCCACAGTGACCACGGCTAGAAAGGCTGTCACCATTGCCCTCTCGTTTCTGGCTTTCACCAAACCATTCACTATGCAGTAAGTCCACGGCATTTATTTAACTTATGAAAAAATTATTTAATGTTAAAATTCGAAGGTACTTTTGGGCTGGATCAATAGTCGTACTCGGCATTTACTTAAATGTCTTCAGCAAGAAGCACAAGGACTTTGGACCAAAAGACCTTGTGGTGATCATCAATAAGCTCAAGTCGAACGTGGTGAAACCTAAACGGAAAATCATTGCCAGTGTTTAATTTTAATTATTTATGTTTTCACAATCTATAGTGTAATCACAAACTTGAATTGGAAACTGAGCAGACACAAGAAGTATTTTATAACATTATATTATGTTAGGTTTATTTACATTCCGACAATATTTTGTATTTCAGGAACAGATCGTGTAATTGTGATTTATTTTTTGCGTTGAAGAGCACAATTAATATTGATTTGACCATATTTTGATTTTTTTCCTAAAATAAAATATATTTTTGAGTTAATTAAGTTTGTTTACATTTTCAATTGTATATCTTTCAAGATAAAAATGTGTTCAATAATCCAAATTATTGAAAGTAAAATTTTATCGCAGCTAATCTGTTTGCATTTCATTATTTCCCAAGCTAATAAATACCAAATTTTTATATTTTGTAAAAAGCTTGCTTACAGAGAGTAATTGATACATTTTTTTTTCATATTGTATGGCACAGTAGCGCTCTTATAAATTATTATTGTAAAAAAAATTAAACCATATTATATCTTTTTTAATTCGACGAATGCTAAAAATAAAATTTTGTGCACACGACACGTTTCGCGCTAAAAGTAGTTGAAATCGAACAAGCGAGCATCGACGTGACGCACACTGTGACGTCACATCCGTCTTTGAATTCCTTCGCGAAATAGTCATTTCTTGGTCGTAGACTCTCGTGAACGAATCGTCGATCATCTCCACCGAGGTTGACATTTTCGATTGCATCTCGCAGGAATATAAAAGCTAGTGCTTCTCCTTGTTGTCGTATATGTCCATCCAGAATCTCACCACATTTGGTAAGCGGAAAAAACGTCAAACAAAAACACCCTTTCTGTCGAGAATTTTCACTCCTCAATTTCTAAGATGGCAGCTCCAATGTTTTGAAATTTCCCAGTGTCCCACGAGTTTTTCCGAGCTCCTTATCAAATATTTGCATCTAAGTCGAATTCAATTAAATTAAATTGTATTTTATATGGTTATTGTGACAATTTCACCGGTTCAATTTCAACCGCAATGCTTGCATAACGCATTTCCGCAATCATGGCCCACATCTGTCAAACCGAACTTCTGGAAGCTTTGAAAGCTTTCCTTCCCTATTTAGTGTCTCATGGCTTCCATTCTTTCAGTTTGGTCCTTTTACTCTATATGGCGCGCTCCTATCAGACGATAATGCAAATTTTACAATTATTTTTCATTTTATTTTTACCATTCCGTTTGTTCTTTTGTAAATTCATCCTTGAATTCGCACATTGTCCTAACTGTACATCGCGCTTGAAATCCCCGTGATGCAGTGCCAATCTCGCAAAGAGATGTTGAAAGTACTCGGCAAAGCCACTTAGCTGCTCTTGGTGCCAGAAAATAAATTCTCGAGTCTGTTTACTTCTCCCAGTTCACAAAATAAATCAAGCGCGCTGACGCAAATTTGATTTACAGATCCCTTTGCGGACGCAAACAAGGGTGCTGACGAAGGCGTACAGGATGGATTCGTACATATAAGGATCCAGCAAAGGAACGGACGCAAAACCCTGACCACAGTGCAAGGTCTCTCGGCGGAGTATGATTTGAAGAAAATTGTCCGTGCCTGCAAAAAGGTAATTTAATTCAAGAAAAATCGATTTTACTGAATTTTCAAATTACTTCGAATCGTCTCATAAAGTGGTGTTCTTTCGGAATTAAAGTCCAGTTTAATGATATATCAATAAGATAAAGTACCAAACAACAAAATCTTATCTTTCTGTTCTGTTTTCGAGGTTGGAGATCCCCAATATCACTTTTTCATAACTAAAGCTTTGAACTCTTCTCATTAAAATTGTTATTTAACATCTAAAAGATTATCTTTTTAAAAGTTGGAAAATTTCTTGAATCTTCCATTTACAACATATTTGACATTTCTTATCCATTTTCATTCTTTCTGGTGGTGAAAATAATATAAAACTGATTTTTTAATTTTTTTTCGCTTGCAGGAATTTGCATGCAATGGCACCGTAATTGAGCACCCCGAGTACGGCGAGGTGTTGCAGCTGCAGGGAGATCAGCGCGAGAACATCTGCCAGTGGCTGACTCGGTGCGGCCTGGCCAAGTCGGACCAGCTCAAAGTGCACGGCTTCTAAGCACGACCGAAATGCAAATCCACTGCAGCAGGTGACATGTATCTGGGCGCCATTGATGTCTTTAGAGAGTGTCTAAAAAGGACTCTGGGGCTATTTTTGTAAAACGACACCACTGTTAGCTCTGAATCATCTACCTTTGAATGCCACAATACGAAATACAACCCGAGTGCCTCTCTGCTCAGTGGATCCAACGCAACAGTTTGAAACCAATCATGTTAACAGTTAATGCAAGTAAAAATAAAAAACAAGTGGATTAAATAATGATATCATTTTAAGTGATCAACTTTCATTTTTTCTTGTCGTTGGAAGGAGATAACAAAATTTAAAATAAAATTTAATTATGACATGACACACAAATCAGTGTTTTTCATTATGATTGTGTTAATAGTGCTAGGCACTTCCTCTAAAAAAATGGTTCCCTGTGTTATTAAAATTATTAAAAGAAATTAGACAGTTTTGATTTCAAAATTTATAAAAAAAAAATCAAACTACAAGGTTAATCAGAAAGAAAGCAGCAGTAACGAGATTAGGAATATTGTTTAAATAAATATTAAGAACGGGATATCAATTGCCCGGAAAATTAAACATACATGCTAATGAAACAATAATTATTCAGAGTTACAGATGCGAATATTATTACTATGGGTAATTTATACCTTTCTTAAAACTCATTTTTCATTCCTAGAGGTAAACTTAAAAAAATACATTATATGTATTTTTTTTTTAAATTTATATCAAAATTACATGGGAATGAATTTGATTAAATGTTTTGGTTTTTTTTAATGTGAAAAGATCATGATACAGAAATTCAATAAAATATCAGAAATATAATTATAGTTATGCAACCAGCTCAACGCCGCACTGCCACAGGTTGCATAAGCCATATAAAGCAGGCGCTTGCTGAGGCAGCCCCAAATTTAACCCCTCTCTTCACGCAGTGGGTGCTCATAACTACACCAACAGCTTCTTTGGCACGCAATGTGAAGAGAAAGTCTCCTGCTTATTCGCTTTGTTCATTTCTGTGATATTGATATGCAGGATAAATAGGGATTGCGACAAATCGGTTCCAATTATAATTATATGAATTATATATTTCCTTTCAATTCGCGACAGGACAGCGGGGGCGTTAAACTTTGGGCCTTTATATAGTCGGTTTCATATATTTATTTTTTGAATTATAATCAGTTTTAATTACGGTGCAAGAATATAAAATTAAAATAAATTTTTAGTTTAGAAATAATTTAAAGAACTTAATCATAATTTTTTGTCATCATTCAATATATTGTTTGTTCTCATTTATCACGAAATTAGAATATTTAATTGATATTTAGGAATAATTTTTTTCAAAAATTTAATATCCAAGTTTCAATTAATATAAAACTTTGATTGAAAAAGATCAAAAGAACAGATATAACAAACAATTGCGAAAAAAAATTAGCTCAAAATATCTGTAAAAATAAAAATATTGCTGCTTATTATTATCATCACATATTATGCAGTCTCTGGTCCCCCATCAAATGTATAACATGCGTTTCTACACTTCATATGCAAAAATGAAATATGAGAAGGAATCAGGATTATGGCATGTTTAGACAAGTGTCGCTAACAAGAATGAATGGCTTGTCTCACTTTTCAAGAGACTTTACCAAAAAAATACCTCCTTTATTATCTTATCAATTTTTTCCTCCAACCGTTGTTTTTATTCCTCGAGTCTCACTTTTGTTAAATAAATTATACACGGATTCCAAAAATAGGCAGCAACTTGTTAGCCAGACTAGTGCGAATACATAATCGCACAAAAGATAAAAGGGGGTGAAAGAGCGGGGGATGCGCGAACAGAGAGGAGACACAATATGGCTCAAGCACGCCCCACATGTGTCACGGTCGTTTACGTGGGTGTCCCATCAGCCGAGCCATCGGCCGACAATAATTAAATAACGGCGGCTGCACGCAGATAATATAGTAGAGCGAGGGTGGCTTGACGGGCCGGGTGTGGCGCGAGACGAACCCCCGATGGCGCCGCGGCGTCAGCGAGGGAGAGGCGCACACGGGCGCGCAGCTCGGTGTGTGGCAGTCGGTGTAGTTCAGTCAGTCGCACTCAACAGGTCCACGGTGTGGTGCTCGCAGCTGCCGTCGGCTGCCACGCGGGCATGTCCCGATGCCAAACACACGGGCCAAAACAACAACACCTGCCGTGACGCCCTTCATCGAGCCGATCGCAGCCTACCTCGACGCCAATGGCACCTACGTCTGCACGGCCTTCAACCCGCGATGCTTCGTCGTTCAAAAGGTACCTTATTTTTTCACATTATTTTATTCTGTTCCATCCAGAATATCCGTTCGCCGCGATTTTACTTGTCGCTTTGCCCGAGCAGGGTGGTTTGGCGCGGGGGTGCCTTCGCCGGGGGTGGCCGGGCCTTTCCCGAGGGGCAGCGGGCGGTCGGCGGGCTGTCGGGCCGCCACCGCCGGAGTGAACATGCACGACGTGTGCCCATGACTTGGTACGTCTTGGGCCCAGGGTTGAGTCTCTCGCGCCATGTTTGGATCAATACAAGAGCCGCGAGTGCCCACCCATCTCTCTCTCTCGCCTCGCACAGAGGGAAGGGGCTGCTCTGCTCCTCTCGCGCTGATGCTGTGTATATATCTTGGACGAACGAACGCGCGGGAAGGCAGCCGGGTGACGTCAGCGGAGAACACGTGGGTGGATGGAAATGATCGGTGCGGATGGAGAGGTGCGCGCGGGCCGCTCTATCTCGGCCGGGGCTATTTTTAGATTCGCGACTCTCTCTTCTCGCGAAATTACTGCCGCTTTTGCACCCCGAGCCATCTCCTTTGTGTGCTGCTCTGCGGTTTCGCACCCTTCGTTGTTGTTATTATTTTTTGTTTGCAACACTTCATTGTAATTAGGAATAATGGTCAGCGAGAAATGAATTAACGCGGCGGTCCCGAGAGATAAATTGTTTAATCAACGAAACACATAAAAGTCCCGCTCGTTGTCTGCTCGCTTTTTTATCGAGTTTGTTTTTTGCTGTGGTGTGGCGGCGGCGGCGGCGGTCTGCCTGAACGCATCTTTTCTCGCTCCATTGATATTTTCCTGCTCACCGCTCACTCTATTAATGGGCCGGCGGCCGCTATTCTCTCTCTCGCCGACGTGGAAAGAACGCTTCGATTTTCGGTGCGCCCACCCTTCTCGACTCCTTTTGCTCTCACTCTTTGCCCCACAACTTTTTGACGTTGTGGCAAAACCACACCATCGCGCGCATTTTTTCTCAGAAAAGTTAAAGGTCGTACACACAGGCCAAAGTTTGATGCCTCTTTAAAAGGCAAAAGTGAATCCTTCAGGCGGATTATATAAAATAAGTTTTCCCTTTTCATTTCACAAGAAAATATTGATTGTTGAATATTTTAACTTTAATACGTGATATTTATTTCGACTGAATTTTAGGACTTGATTGATTATTATTTTGAGGAGAGAATGCGGGATAATATTAACACACTAAGTTAGTACCTGCAACTTAGCATGCGAATACCCATCATTGATCTGATTTTATACCTGAATATATTGCATATGAAGAAAAACAAAAAAATGTCAATATTCATCATGCATCTACGTTTCAAGGTTTTTAAGGACTTTGGTATATAATAATTTTGATCTCAAGGTAAATAATAGATAACTTTTAAATTATACATGAAAAATATTATATTCAATATATAAATGCAAACTATTTTCATCATTTCATAGATTTTTTTAAGCATCATAATATAACTCTACTAACTTTAAAATTTAATCAATCTGATCAAAAATTTTTATGCTACCTAATTTCTTGAATGAAATAATTCAATAAATATACACATTGTTTTAGTATGCATTTTATAAATAAATTAAAATTTAGAGTTCAGAGATTTGTATTTTTATTCTTTTATATACCAATAAACTTACCATAATTCTAACTAACGATAAGGAAAATGAGCCTAAAATAATAATAATAATAATTTGCAAAAGTTTAACAACTACGACCAGAAAATATTGCTCCTTTCCTTTAATCTTATTCAGCCAAATAGATAAATTTGTTTTAATCTTTGTGTGAACTAATTGTAGCCCCTGGAAATATTAATTGCACTGCCGGTTGCATTGGTTCTTACCATACCATCTTACTCTATCAGCTTATTAGTGAAATCTATTTCTGTGAGCTCATTTTCTTGAGATATTTAACAAAATGCGGCTGCAAAAATAGCTTCATTATTGGCAAGCTGCTAATGAGTGCAATGGCCTCGCGCGGGTTTTAATTAATCAGCACACGCATTCAACCCGCAGCTGTATAGAAAGGTGCACATGTATAATTATTACTTCGTGCTCCTCTGACGGCTTTTCTCATTTTCCAGCGAAAATTACTTTGCGGCTTGTCGATGTGGTGAGATTTCTCGCTCGGCGGTACACACCAGTGTCTGGAAATAAGTAGGCGCAACGACGAATCGCTGCAACTGGCAGCAGAGCGGAGGCGTGCGTGTTGCATACCCTCCTTCTTCTCCAGGCGCTTCCATGTCGCGGTCGACAATACGCGAAACAAGCAACCGATGCTTTTCTTTTGTCTCTCATACGCATATCATTTGCAAACATCTTGCCGACGAAAAAAAAGAAGCTTTTTTGTATTATTTAAAGTTGTGCGAGGAAAAGCTGCTTTTCTCAAACTTATGGAAAATCTTGTTTGCGTCCCAGTTAATGATGTGCTGCGGCGAACAAACAAGAGCGTGTGCACGAGATTTATGGATGAGCTTCCTGGAAGGGCCTGCTTGCGAATTGCGCACGGCCAAAAAGTTGAATGTGGCGCACTCTTGTCATAAAGCGAAAAAGTAGGAGAAAGCACAGAGACACGCAATTTTATCTGCGGCAAGATAAATCGTAACTCTCTCAGTGCAAAAGCTGTATGACATGACGTCTGCGATTCGATAAAACTGGGCAGGCTAAACGAGAGGAGACGCACCCGCCCACGCAAACGCGTCATTTCGCAAATTGCTTCTCGCGCGATTTAGGTATTACATCTCGCATTTAAGCTTGACGTCCAGGACAAAACAAACTGCGGAAGCAGTGTCAGGAAATTTAAATTTATGATCCGCTGGAGGCTATTTTTACTCTAAATACAAATAACGTTTAACGTTACAAAATTGATTTTGTTCCGAAAAGTAAGCCTCAAAATACAATTAAATTTTGTGCAAATTTTTTTTTTATTATTTTATTGATTTTCCATTCAATAGTTACATACATTGAAATACAGAAAAACTTCAAATTAAATTCAATGATCTTACCAAAAATATACACATGAAATAAAAACAATTTTTGAGTGTTTGGTTTATTTATTTTCTATATATATACTTCAGAAAAAAATTTTAGGTTTATTTGTTTATGCACGCCAATTTTATAATCATTTTTTTTATAATTCTGTGCAATTTGATTTTTGTAAAAAAGTCAATATCTTTACTTTAAATCTTAATTTCTCTCCCTTTAGTGAAAAGGTTATAAAATGTGTATGCACGTGTAAATGATGTCAAAGGGAAAGATAAACAAAATTTCTGTCTCCTTTACGTTTATATTTTAGAGAGGAAGTTGTTGCTGGGGCATGCGATATCAGATTTCCACAAGTTCAATCAAAGTTGAGGAAAAACACAAACAAATGGATTTTTCAAAGATAGAGTTTCATGGCTTCTGCGAAAAAGCTTTTGCAGTGCTTTCCAAATGCACCCTCGTTTGCGCTACGGAATGGCCAGAGGAGGAAAATAATTATGATATTTCACTGCGGAAACCATACCTGTTCTCAAATTCGTATTGCATTTCAAAGTTCACGTTTTCTCTTTCATTAAACTCAACGTGTAAAAGCATGTCAAAGGAACTTTTAGAGCAGCATTTTCTTTGGCAATCCAGTTTTGTTTGCAAATGAATAAATTTTATAATACATAAGCAAAAAGTTAAAAATAAATATTTATATAACTTATTTATATTAATTTGGGGCAAATTTAATTATTTTTAATGCTCTTTAGTTTTAAAATTAAATTGTGTTGCTGCTCCACCAGAAATCTCTGATCGAATCAAGATTCAAATTTTTATTATAAGACCTGTGGTAAAAAAAAAATATAAGTAAGAAACAAATCAATACCTTTTCATATTTTTTATTTAATTGATTTAGTTTTAAGTTCTCTGTGAAATTTAATCAAATAGAAGAAATTACAATTGAAGGCTATAAAAATGGGTATTCCGGAGAAAATTTCAAAGTGAACAATGTTTTGAATCATTTAAGTTTTGAAAAGTTTCCAATCTTTCTGAATGGCTTATTCGAAAAGTAAATTTAAAGTGTTCAAAAATTTAATTTATTATTTTTATGGGTGGAAAACAAAATAGCTCAGCCAATTTTTGCTATGGTTTGCGTCCCTATTGCAGAAGACTTGCTTTTTTTTTTTTAATAAAAAGACGAAAATTTTCATTAATTGGGATAAGAACAAGAACATTCGCACGGCGGAGCAAAAACAACAGAGCGGGTCGTGTCGGCGTTAAATCGCCTCGTGATCGTTGCCAAACATCCTTGACTTCACCTTAAGTTAGTGCGGCACGCCGTACGTCAGCGCGCAGAGCAAATAATAAAAAAACAGAATCGCGGCGGCCGGTCGGGGCTGCTGGTGAATGTCCTAACGGCCTGCAAAGACGATCATTGCAGAAATGCGTTGCGTTAGAGCTGTTGCATTTTTAGTGTAGGTGGAGCCAATGGTGTGAAATGCTGCGTTGCACCAAAAGAAGAGCAGAGCAGCTTTCTCGGTGGCCGAGCTCTCGCTTGTAGGGGTCAGTTGGTGGTCAGCGACCGTCCAAAATGGACCTGGTCGCCGAGACCATCTGCTGCTACCCCGACGCTTACTTCAATTCGATTATGGAATCGATGTACTTCGCCGACTTTTTCGTGAAATGCGCCGGTTCGCCTCCGGAATTTCACATTTTCTGCACTTCACCTGTGAGTTGAACAATGTTTAAATGTCAGGTTTTTCTGTGTTCACATATAAAAAAATTGCCCCATAATTTGCAGAAAAAATTTGGGAAAATATTATTTAAAAATTTTGTGATAAGAAACTGAATAATTTGGAACGTTGTAAGTTAAAAATTAATTTCAATACTTTTTTATTGAATAAAAAATTTGCTCTAATTAATTTCTTAACGTTTTGATTAAAAATTATTAAAATAGTGAGAAAACAATTTTTAACCATTTCCTTTTTACCTGATCAGATTTAATTTTAGCCACCCCTGATTTATCTCTCCGTGCTAATTACACGCCTCTGATTACAAGTATAAGGGATTTGTAATTAATGAGCCGGCGACTTGTTGTGTGTTGCAATGAAATGCGACTGCTGAATGTAATTACGCGCGTCAAATTATATCGAGAGCGCCGCTCTGCAAATGACAGGGTGGTGTGTCGCGCACATGTCGACCGGAGAGAAGTGTGTGTGTATATATGCGTGCCATTAGGCCGCATAAAACTTAATTGAACTTATCACACTGGAGACTGCCGGAGCAAACATTAACGTCGTCAAGTGCAAACGCGGCGTGCTATACTCTCTTGCCCTTTACAGTGGTATATTAATTAAAAACTCGTATGTAGAGAGAAGGCGAACTTAGTTAGGCGCTAATTGAAGGAACCTGTAAGAGTTGAAAATTAATAAGGTGGAAAGCCAGGGGAAAGTGCTAAAACTGAAAATTAAATTTCATTGTTAGCATTATTAAAATTTAAAATACCTTTTTCAATTTTTATTTTATTATTATTCATAGATAATGCTTTCATTTGTTATTTAAATCAAAATATTTTGAGCCATTAAATCATCATTGGTTAATTAATTACTAATTTGAATGTATTTGAATACATTTATCTTAATTAGACAATTACTATATAAGTTGTGAACGTCCTTGCATCACAATAATAGAACTGAGTTTAATTAGTTTTGTTTAAAATTAAACATGGCCCGATTGGTCAAAATTAGACTATTTTTTCTCAATCAGCCGCTTGTAAGCAAAAAATTTTTTATCATGCAATTTTTTCTTAGCTGATTTCATAATTTTTTTCTTTCAACATGATTGTTTAATTGTAAATAATAATAATTTTGTTTGTAGTTAAAATTCAAAGAATTTTAATAATGTTTATAAACGCCATTTCGGATCATTATAATTTTCAGTATTAATTTTTATTTAAACCAATATACACCTAAATAAATGTGGATTGGAATTTTCGTGCGTCAATGCTAATAATTTACATCCCGCAGAGCATCTTCGGAATCCTGTTTTAATCGCATTCCTTTCAACTTGTGTTGCAGGTGACTTCAGGTGTGCGACAATTTTTTCCCGACCAAGACAAGTTGGACGACTATGGCACCGACGACACGGATTCAGACTCGCCAGACACTGTTGCTTCCAACTCTTCACACACGGAGGGTGAGTAAAGCAAACAATTCCTCTGCCGCCGGAATCCAGCCGAGAGCAAAGGTCGAAAAGTCATAAATAAAATTCTCGATCAAATCGCTCCGAATTTAATGGATTTTTAGCTGCCTCATTTTGATTACCATTATTTATCTCACACGGGAGCTGATTTATATTATCTGCTTTGTGCAATACCAAAAGTAATATATCATATCCTTCGGTCTGCGATGAGGACTGTGTGTGCATAAACGGCCGTCGTATCAACGCTCAAGGCCAGATCAAATCAGTTGCCAGGGTTATTTGAACTCGTCAATCAGCACTTTTTAATATTGCGCCCTTTTAGATTAAGGTGTACAAATCATAATTCACGATTTATCTCTTGCGCCGACAGCGTTCATTTTTTTATTTTTATTTGCTCAGTGAGTCAAATTCGCAGCTTAATTATATGGCATTACAAAAAAGCAGCTCTTGCGCGATTTAAAACCACTCTGGTTTTTGCGCGGTTTGGACATTTTTTCCATTACGCGTGCAAATATAAACAAAGAGGTAAAAATAATGATGATGTATGCTATTTGCAAATACGAACCGGAAGCAAATTGGCAGGTTGGCAAATAATTATGTTTTATAAACCGCTGCAAACGGACCATGAATATTCTAATTAAAATTTATCGAATTTAACCTTTGAGCTTCTCTACTCTGTTAAATTGCTTGAATAATTATTTTGTCTATTTTCCAAGATCAATAAATATTCTTTCATTACAAATATACAAGTAAAATAAAATTAGGTGTCAAAACTGATTTATTTGGTTCCCTTCTTATCCTTTAATTAATATTAAAAACGAGGAAAGAATTAATAGGTAATTAAAGGAAGTGAAGCGTAATTCACTGAAAAAAAAACAGGCATTTCGTCGTTGAATCAAATTAAAATATTTTCCTTTCATGTAATTGAGCTGCAGACACTCGCTGAGACTAGTCGAGCTCTTTTTTCCGAGATTTTCATTAAAAGTTATTTTAATGAGGAAAATCCGGTTGCTCAATTTCAACATGATGGGTTCCTCAAGTGGAAATTTCTTCCAATCCATGCTGAAATATTATAATTATAAAAAAAACATTTAAAAATAATTGTCTAATGAGAAAAAAAATTAGATATTTTATTATTTCTCGCTGTACTTTTGTTCTTTATTAGCACATATTGCCGAGCTAAAAATCGCTATAGGAGTGAAGAACTTAATTTTATTGCCAAACGCAACGGTGCGTGTGTTACTCAATTAATTATCTTTCCGACAAGCGAATAAAATTCACTAGACATAAGAGGGGAGCCGCATCTCGTCCGTTCTATTTAGCTCTTATAACTTCATACAGACACGGTGCAATTAACTCTTTCCGCGAAACGCATTCCTGCGACGCAAAAAGCATCACCGGCGGCTGTGTGCGTGTGAGGCCCGCGGAGTTAGTGGAGCAATTAGTGGTTTTTCGCGCTGCACGAGCGACGAGTGCGGCGGCGGCCGACAGATGGCGGCACCGGTGTCGCACGGTGATGCAACATTTCCCCTGGCATGTGCTGTTGTCGGCCATTTTGCAAGGTTAAGAAAGAATTGTGTTGAGATTGAGGGCTTCTTCTCTAGGTAAGAAACGCCTTTTCCGTCTCTTTCCCACCTCGATCCTGAGGTCGGTCCACGGCCGATTTTCCAGTGCGTTTTTCAGCCGGTGAGACTCGGGCCGAAGGGCCGTCGGCGACGTCGAATCGCTCTTTTGCAGCCGGGCCACGGCAGTTCGGCAGGGGATGCGAGGGCACATGGTGTCCGGGAGCGAAAATCTTCCGCCCACTGTCCCGTGAGCATCTGAAGGCCACTCAAATCTTGTCAACCGGCTTCCAGGGCCCACCGGCGGCCCACGTAAGGGGGCGGGGCCCCGTCACAGGGATGACCGCAATGTAGGCCAGCAGTGAACGGCACCTCGTTGTGCCAGGTCGTCAGGCCCACTTTGGCGAACCTCTCGTTTTTCGGCCGCCAGCGAACATCGTCCTTCCGGCCACGGTCGGCGCCGCACCTTCCGCGACTCGTTCGGAAGCCCTTCTGCACTCGCAAGCGGCGCTAATTGTCATGTGATGCAGTGGTGCGGGGGGCCGAGTCGGCCACAATGGAATTTTCGTGTGTTCCGTTTCCAAAACGTGACCGGGGGCTCGGGGGCCCTTTCACAAATCCCCCTCCGACCTTCGGCTGTCCGACCGCGGGGGTTTGCTTGCGACGACCTGAACTTTTCATTCGGGACTTTTTGATAATTGCTCCGTCATAAATGATAGGCTCATCATAGATTCCAATTTGAAACTAAAATTAACTTTTTTCCGTCCGCATTCTGTGTTTACATCCTGTAAACTTCGTTAATTCAAACCATATGTGCGCCAATTTTTCCCAATATTAGTAATTTCGGGAAAATTTCGGCTTTTGTAAATTATTAAGTCGATTTGATTAATTTTTATTGATTTTATTTTAGAAAATTACTTCTAGAACGATCAATATTTCCCATGAATTAAACTATTATGAAATATTTAAATTTCCATCATTTTCAGACAGTGTTTGCACTTTTGTCCAATATAATTTTTGGCATTGAAAATAAAAATATTTTATTTAATTATCATGTTGTTATCTAAATGTACTGCAGGCGCTGAGAAAGAGATAAACTTTTTAAGCGGAAACGCAGCTCAATTTGCCAAGATTGTTTGTTAATCTGCTAATTAGCTCCGCCCTGCCGAATGGGCGTTTGCAAAGTAGCCTCCGATTTGCATATTATTGTGTCTTTTGCTGTGCCGTAGAAGGAAGGAAGGGTCTCGTGTTTTGTGTGTGTATACTTTTCCACTCGCACACTCGAGGGTAGTGGCGTGATCAATAGTGACTGCCGACATGAAAGACAGACACACTACGGTATTGCCAAAAATTTCCAGCCGCATCGAACAGTAATGCAGGCGAGGAAAATTGCTTTTATCAATTCGATAAAAATGCAGGCAGCGATTAGATTGAGATTTTTTCGTTAAAAAAATTCACCATTCCATTCACTAGTCTTATATTCTCTTCAACCGAGAAACCAAATAATTAATTCTCTCTTCCTCTGCCTAGGTTACGTGTACATGAATGGGGACATTGAGAAGATCCCTTCAGGGGTGGCTTTCGCCGCGCCCACCCCTGACCTCCAGGCTGCCGGCGCTTCAGAATCTGACAGGCATTTAGTCAACGGGGACGACGCGATGCCGACTGGGGCGGCGGCCAGCGGCCAGAGCCCTAACACGGCCAACATGACCGCAGCCGAACTGGAGCAGCTCAAACAGTTGCTCGCAACACAACTCGAGTACTACTTCTCGAGGTGAGCCAAATTTTCATTTAATATTCTCAAAGTATTCAATTCAGTCATTTTCCTTTGATTAACTTTGTTATATTTTGGATGCCTCTTTATATTAATAAATACCGAAGAACCGCAAGTTTATTTTATAAATGTATATTTATCTCGCAAAAGTGTTAAAAGTTAAACAGGATTTTCCTTGTTGATACTACTTATCTTATTTAAAATATTTCTTTACACACAAAAAACTTCCATTCCATGATGCTCAATCATTCATTTAAAGGCTCCCTTGGACTTTGACCTAAAGGGATCCTAAGAGATAAATAAATACATAATATTCTTCAATTCCCTTTTATATTAATATGTATGTTCTGAATGTTCATGCATCAAAGTTGGGAGAATAAATGAGCACAGATTGTAGAGTTTTCTTATAATTTTGTACAAGCAGCTGAATTTTTTTATGAAAACTTACTGAAATTGTCTGTCAGTACTTCAGATTTGGATCAAATTATTTAAATATTTATGGCAAAATAATTGAATAGTCCATCATAATTAAAAACTCTAGAAACTAGAGTGAATTTCCTGAAAACTTACTTCCGTTAATTTTTTAAAATATAGTCTGCTGGGTAATTATTTGTTTAAATGGTATTACGAGTTGGCAAAATTTTGTGTGCATTTTTAATTGAATTACTTTTTAAGAAAGAGAAAAACATTATTTTATGGTAGAAATTCACTTCTTTTAAATAACGATGATTGAATTTGGAGAAAGCACCTAATTAGAGCCAGAGTCCTGTTGATAAGGTTTTTGGTGTCGAATGAGTGCGAAAGCAGCATACATTCCTCTCGTCAGTCTAGAAAGTCATTCATGGCTCTCTGTTTGGCTTGAGGTGTACAAATGTTCATTTTTGGATAAGGAATTCCATTCATATTTTGACGCCTATCCCAACATTAACTGCCGCGGCTATGACGCTCAAGCAGTTCTCACATATATTAATTACAGAGCAATTACGACAGCTGTGTAAATAAAAGAAAAGTTTTGCTCGTAAAACCGGGATCTATGCTCTCAGTTGAACTTTTATCTGTTAGTGTTATTAAGAAAGTAAACGTCGCATTCCCAAAGTATTGACGACATAGGAATGAATCACTTCTTGTAACATCCAAACTTATTTGTTCCAGAGAAAACCTTGCAAGTGATACGTATCTGCTGTCTCAAATGGATAACGACCAGTACGTCCCAATTTGGACTGTTGCTAATTTTAACCAAGTTAAAAAATTGACAACAGACATCAAATTAATCACCGACGTTTTGAGAGGTACTAATTTTCCTTATCTAATGCAAATATACGACGCTGAATTCCAATGTGATTGCAGAATCTTCGATAGTCCAAGTGGACGAGGAAGGTCTTAAGGTGAGGCCTAACCACAAGAGGTGCATAGTCATTTTGAGGGAAGTTTCCGAGAATACTCCTGCCGAAGAGATTGAAGTAAGTCTCCAGTTATTACATAATATTTTCCACTTCTCATAAGTGGATCTGTAGACACAAATATTCTCTTTATTTTACCCTGAATGAGCGTTAAAAAAAATCTCAGTAAAATTTGAATTTGCAATACATGCTTCCTTTTTTACCAGATTTAATAATTTATGGAAATAAATCCCAAAGGATGTGGTTGTGGTATCCCTTGGTTTCTCCCAAAACTCATACAAAATATTTTAATCTGCCATAAAAACCACACTTTGGTGGCCCTTGATTATATTTTGTTCAGGACTTTTTGATTATGTCTTGAATTAATTTGTTTTTAAACTATTTTCAGGGTTTGTTCTCAAGTGAAAACTGCCCCAAATGTGTCTCCTGCGAGTTTGCGCACAACAACGCTTGGTACGTAACCTTCGAGTCGGACGAGGATGCTCAACGTGCTTACCGCTTTCTTCGAGAGGAGGTGCGCGAGTTCCAGGGCAAGCCGATTATGGCACGCATAAAAGCCAAACCCATGAACAGGCTACCCATGAACAACACACCATCATCAACCACCGGCCCGAAGAATGGGTTCCGCAGTCCGCCAGTTTACGAAACTGCGCGCACCTTCACCCCTACCATGGTCTACGCCAATGGTACCTCGGCTTCCACGCTGAACTTCCCCAACGCGGTGCAAATCATCTACCCTCCTCAGCAGCCGACACCTCAGCCCTCCTTTGGATACACCCCGCCCATGATCCCTTGGCCACCCAGCCATGGTCAGCCTTATTACGACATCGGCAGCGTTTTCACAGTCAACGGCCTCGCTCCTCAGAGCCCCTTCCCAAAGCCCCCATCCTCAAAATTCAATACCCGCTCAAAAAAGCGCCCACCTACCAGCTCCAGTCTACCCGACACGTCGAGAGTAGCGACCATTGTGACGCCTTTGGCTGCCGCCCCGGTGGTGATGCCCAAGACTGCTTTGCTCGACTCGAGACAAGACGAGATGAGAGCTGACGAAGACAGGAGAGGTGATAAAGATGCTACCGGATCTCTGAGGTAACCAATTATGAAAATTGAAATTCTTATCTAATCAACGCAAATTTTTGCAGGCAAAGGAGGCGCAGAAAGGAGGACGACGTCAGAGCTCCTAGTGGATCGGTGCGAGCCATGGCCAACAGCCCCCAGCCAGTTGCGACTCCTGTTGCCTCCGTTGTGCAGCCTGGCCCTAAGTTTGACTTGGAGGCCACTGCTTTTCCTCCCTTGCCCGGTCTGGACCAGGAATCAAGCACCAAAGCGCCTGCCCCTGAACAGCTTGAGACCTCAGCTTCACCGTCACCTTGGGAGAGCAGGTACGATTCTGTCGAAAAACGTTTCTTTATTTACTTGAAAGTTACAGTATTGAGCCTTGTCAAGAATTATGTTTTCTTCTGTGTTCAGGCTCTCTGATGTGGTGAAAGGCACAGCCAAAGCAAAGGTTTCTACGTCCAGCTCTCGTGATAAAGACCTCCCAGCTCAGCCTGAAGTGACTGCCACTCCACCGCCACCTCCTACTCCCACAGCTGCTTCTGTTGTTTCTTCGGCGCCGAAGACTGTGGCAGCAGTGGCAGCGACTCAGCCCAAAGTAGTGAAAGCAGCGGCAAAAGTAGAAGAGGCACTAACAGAAACACCACCCACTCCTGTTGCCACCCCTCCAAATTTCCCTGAAAAGTGAGTTGTGGCCCTTGTTGTTATAAATGAATTTAATAAAATTTTCACTGTCTATCCTCAGGTCGGTCAAAAGCATGGCCGATAAATCCACGAAGACTGATGATGCCTTGCTGAACGGAGAGGTGAGCGGCTCCACCGCCAAGTCAGCTCCCGAAGCCACCCGCTCCATGGCGGCCGCCAAAGCAGCCCCGCCTGCCCCCGTGATGGCCAACGCCTCTACAATGACTAACCCTATTGAGAAACCAAGCAGCAACAACAACAATGTGAACAGCCAAGACAACATACCCAATGCACCGTCTCCCCCGCCAGGCTCAAAACTCAGCTATGCACAAGTGGCGCAACACCACAGGGAGAAGCAAATGAGGGAGGAAAGAAGCAAGTCTGAGTCAGAGGGAGGCAGCACTACCAGTAGCAACAATGGCAACAAACAACCTGAGCTTAGAGGTAGGACGAGATAATTGCAAATATTTTGTTGGCAAACTCATCTTATGAAAAGTTAAAGGAAAATGTAGATTACCAAAGAATTTAATGTTACAAATAATAGTTGGATTTGTATTAAATTTTGAATCATGTGGATAAATTTTCTTTGTAAAAAGAACCTTTAAAAAATACACAATGCCATAATTGACTAACGGCTTTGGTTTTTTGCTCTGGCTGAGCCAATTGAAATATTTTTCATGCATGCTAATAGTAGTGAACTAAAACCATTCATCCTTGTTTAAGCAGATGTTATAACTTCAACCGCAACAAAAGAGGGCATTGGGCAGAGGATGGGTCGTGGCGGCGGCGGCCGACCCAATCAGCAGGGCGACAGAGGCCAGTACCATCAGAGAAATCGCCGCAATGATGATCGTCGGATGCGAGAACCTCGGTCACCCAAGTAGCACTCGCTTTTGTCAGAACTATTGACATCTTGACGGCGCCCGTCAGTGGTGCTCCACCTAGAGACACTGTGAGTGTCTCGCAAGTGAAATAAGAAAATAGTGTCGCTCGAAATATTTTTGATTAAAGACGACCTTGCAAGCAAAAGTAACAAGAAAGAATACTACACAATTGGCAACGAGGAGTGAAAAAGAAGATGGATGGCTCTAAAGAATCAAATATTTTTGGGACACCCTTGATTGTAGCTTGCAGCCTTAGATCCCCGCCAGATGAAGAGATATGTGGGTGCCGAGTGCTTGATTGCATAATAACTGTGATAGCCCATGTGTGTAATCCTGATCAATGGTTGTTTTAATTTTCGCCTGACACCACGACTACCACCAACGCTGCTGCTGCTGCTACTTCTTCTCTTTCTAATACCTATCGATAATCACAGGGTAAAGCCAACTTTTGTTTTAGCTCCCTAAGCTCTCAACGGAGCCGCCCGAATTTTTAAGTTTTTAACAGACGACCCAAAAAGAGGGCATGCACTTAACGCAGAAGATTAGGTATGTGTTTTTATTGCGTGATAATTGCACTTCATTTTGTGGTCTGTTGGCATTTTGTGGTCGGAACGCAAACAGCATCTTTGGCTATGTCTTCCAAAAGCGGACCTTTTTTGACATTTTTATTTTTCAAATATGCACAGTCCTTGCCTAAGCATTTACCGCCTCTTTACTCTTTTTTTTTTAAATATCTCGACTCGCGCGATCGCTCTTTTTACCAAACAAGTTTGCGCCTCAGTCCGATATCTTGATCCGTTCGCGCAAGGAACACCAATTACGATTTACTCTCGACAATTGGACGCGATTGAACCTATATCAAAGTCCTCTCGTTACACTTTTCTAGATTCCGTCTGGGAATTCTCGCAAGGCTTGACGAATACCTTTACAACCCATTACCTAATCGCGACCACAAAATGATCGATATTTGTAGGGATTTTCTTGATTTTTTTTGTTAAGGCCTTAATAATTAATAAATAATTTTTGCTTCAATGTACGTTTCTCTTGCTTTATGCTGTTTGTATTTTCCAGTAAATGTGATCACTTTTTGAAAGTCCATTTGTTCATGATGATGACGTTGATAATGATGTGTAACAATGCTGTATGGTGGCTTAACCAACCATCCAACCAACCCTGATCGATTTTGTTTCAACAGAAAAGGGGCATGCATGACAGCCCCTCTCAATCCCCGCCCCAAAATGAACATGTTGAAAATGAAGATGAAAAGTTAGTTGTCGTGTTGTAAAATAAACAGAATATTAATTAACATGAGATGACGATGATGATGATAATAATAATGAAATAGGCTAGAATGGATTATTATGATTATAATTACACTACGTTTATTAATTATTATTTAAGAGTTGTTTTTGTTGTGTGTTCTGCTCTTTGAGTTTCACAGCCACTTAAAAAAAAGCGAGAGATAACACACGTGTAGGAAAAAGTAAGTGGATTACAAGAAAATAGAAATACATTTGGGGCTGTGGGTTGTATAAACATGATCCAGAAAAATAATGGAATACACTTGGAAAAAATAAATAAATATCACACACGACACAACATGTGGACATGAAAGTTATTTATCAAATCACAATTTGTGGTGGAACAAGAATGAAGTTTAAAGTTACAACTATGTTAAATAATTAATAATTATTTAATTGCAGCAGTTCCTTGGTATACTAAATAAATAAATAATAAATATTATAGCTGTTAGCTTTCGGCATTTATTGATACATAAATGGCATAAAGAACTCATCGACCAAAAAATGATGTAAAATACTACAATACATTAATAGTGGCATTACATTGCTTCAATTAGGCTGTACTCATTTTGGCACTGTTTGGCTACATTTGGTCTCATGAAATGCCCAGGCCAGCATATCTCACTGTTGCGAATTGTCCAACAAAAAAGAAACAGTATCGAAAAGAGCAAACTAGTTGAAAAAAAGTAACGAAGCAAAGAGTTTGTAAGTGAACTCCAAATTAGGAGCCACCAAAACGTAGCTACTCACAAATCAAGCCAAGTTAGCCGAACTGCTGAAGTGAATTTTGGTACTTTGAAAGAAACGCGAATACAAGCTGATTATTTTGGCAAACGTGTTGGTTATTTTATAATTTTGCACAAAAAGGGTAAATACTATCTCTATGATTATCAATTGTATACACTTGATTATATTTGTAATTTGAACACGTGTTGAATGATTACGTTTCACGACCGACTCTGATTCTGTGTACGCAGACTCACCGTCTTTCGGCTTCATCAGGCATGAATTCTGTGCAAAAACCGTGAGCCCTTTCTTTGCAATTTAGCTGGAAAACAAAAAGATCACTCGTCTACTAATAATTCTAATTGTGGAAGTAACTATGACAAAAATCAGTGCCGCAGTGTGCCATGATAAAAAGAGAGTTCTAAATAATCTAGCCGTTGCAGATCAGAGAGATTATAATTGAGCCTATTATTATTGCTGAAAACGAAATTCGTTTCTGGTGAAACAGAATGCGATGGAAGAAAGAAAAAAAACAGTGACATCGGCGGAAAGAATTAATAAAAATTTAATGTTGTTTACAAACAAAAGGAAACTGAGATACACATACTGAAAAATTAAAAATGCAAACGTGGAAAAATTAATAAGAAACTTGTGAACTTTGCAAAAACGTAAAAGAGGATTTTTAAGTGTGTTGTTGTAACGGATGGCATCGCGAATATCATCTCTAACTAATAACCAATAATACATTATTGTGTATGGGAGGGATCGAGTTTTATCTTTGTTTGTTTTATTTTGCTGTTCTTGAGAAATGAAAATGAAATGAAAAAGTTACTCAAAAAGGCCAAAAACATACTCGTGTTTCATTTATTCAACCCTTATACACGACGTTATATAACTCCCGCCAGCGGTTGCAGAAGCATGCGTACTATTATTGATCGGGGCCAAAATTTCCAAGAATCGCCCCACTTGGGCAACTTGCTGCGCACTTTGGCGCCCTTTGACATTTCGCAATCCATTCATAAAGCCAGGGGGCCGGTTCCTGCAAGCATGATGCAATTTATTTGAACCCTGTGTGGAAAGGTCGCTGCCGGGTCAAACGGTTAAAAATAAATAAAGCAATTTAATTGAAAAAGTTGACTTTTTTAGTCCAGTTTAGTCATCAGCTTACCTTTTGAGAGCGAAAAGTGAGCAAACTGGTTATGGTCACTCTTCTTGAGACTCTTGCTTTGTATGTAATTGGATTGTCGGTAGACAGAGTAGCTCAAAGCTTAATGATGAGTCAACCTTTGTTTGGGTTTTTGTTTCACTGTGTTCACCAAAGACACCAGAGAAAACAGCACCTTGTTTTGGCCTTGACTTTGGAGACGAGATAGCGCAGCTGAAGTACAACAATTTTGGGACAACGGCCGTATTAAGTATGGAAAAAAATTGTTTATTATATAATTTTGATTATAAAAATTGATGATCAATGAATGAAAATTGAAATTAATAATTATAGATAGAAATTAAAAAATAATGATTGCCAAAATAAGGCAGTGAAATTTACAAAAGTTGGTTAAGACGATGCTCTATAGCCTCAAATAGTTTGATCTGATAAAAAAGATGAAAAAATAAAAATGCATTTCAATGTATTTATTATAAAGTACTTTTTTATATCAAATATTTATAAAGGAAGTAAAGAGTCTTTTTGATTATTTATCATTATTTTCCCCTGATCAAATAAATTTTAAGGTATAAGTCTTTACTATCAAATTTCTGCTCAAATACATACATCGCGTATCTTTAGCACACTAATCAATATTTTTTTTCATTGCAGTATATTTAGATCTGTGGCATTTAACTAAATTTTTATTTCTTCTATATACCAGATTTATCTAGTTAATTTTACTATTACAAAATTGAAATGTGGTTTAAACTATGATTTTATTACTTTTTTCAATTTTATTTGAAAATAAAAATTTCAATTCGAACAGAACAGAACCGCATTGTTTTTTTAACCTGCTGTGTGTGTGTTTTTTTTAATAACTCTAGTAGCGGCGTAGTTGCAAGATATTTTATTTATTATTATTTTATTTCTCTTCAAACAACCATTATGTTAAAAAGGCTCTTGTTTCAACCTATATCGGTCATTTACTTCCTCGAGAGAAACCATAGGACAAATTTCCATTTTGCACCCCCTGGCAAGCATGTATATCACGAAATCGCTTTATCGACGAAATCTTTTTCGGCCGCTTTTTCCTTGTTGTGCGGCGCAGTGGGGCCTGCACGACGGCGGCGTGTGCCAAAAATTCGCACACTCTCTTCACCTCAGCGGCAGGGCCCCTCGGTTTTAGGAGGAGAGACGGTGCCCCCTCCAACGCGCCTCTCCGCTCCCCTCCCACGCCTCGCTCTCTGTTGTTCAGCCATGTTGGTTTCCGTAGTGCCGTGGATGTGAGCAGAGATCGCGAGAATTTGACGTTCAAATGGGCCGTGTGCGAGCGTGAAAGACTTCGTTTCGGCCTGCAGGCAGCATCACCGGGACGGTCTGCACCTCGGACGCCCCTCAGTCGTCCACCCACGACAGGTGAGTGTCTGAAATCGGTGCGGGAAACCCAAGTGACAGGTGCATCTCGGCGCGAAGGTCCCATGCAGTATTGCACACCTTTCTTTCGAGCTGGAATTTCGGTCGGGGCCTTAAAATCAAGCAAATTCGGCACTGATTGATTAATGATCTTAATAAACTAGACACGACAAAATATCTTAATCATTTTTTAAATTAGCAAAAGTTTGAATGTAATATTTATGTACCGTGCTTTATGATTATGCTAATTGATTTTCACCTGACTGCATAGCGGACCTGCTGCGTTACGCGGTATTTATGCGTGCCCTTGCCCACATTATTATAGGCGGGTTAATTGAAATTTAATTAATTTCAAATTGCTTCAAAGTTCATTAGTAAACTCAAGAAGAAATTGCGTTAGAAAAATAGAAAAATATTAAAAATATTGATAAATTTGAATAAATTAAACGATTTAAACTTCCTTGTTTCTTTTTTGTCATTTGTTTGCCAAAAATGGAATTTCTTGTCGATACGTATACGTATCCATTGTATTGAAGTACTCACGCCTTTGTTTAAAACTGCACCTTTATTGCCCGTCCGCTCAATGCCAGAGGCACCTATTTTTTTTTTTAGAAAGGCGTGTGTAATTGTACGTTTTTTTTATCTTCATTTCGTTGAAAATCCTTCCAACTGCATCATTTTGTTTTTGTTTTGATGCCGAACAGTTTGATGAACTTTGAAGGCCCTTTTGAATGCATTCAGGACGTTGAACTGAATTATGGGATGCACACAAGGACACCCAAGACGACCAGCGTCAGTTTCCATTCATAACTGCACTTTTGCATTTTAGATTTCAATTCAAAATTAAAACGGAAAACTGCGTCGATGTTGAAAGTTTTAAATAAAGCGAGAGGCCTGCGCTTTTGCCAAATCAGCACAAGATAGATAAGGAAGGCGCTAGATTTGCGTAGTATTATTTATATATATAAGAAGGATGCTCCAAAGTGTATTTTCTGCAACTTTTTTCTTTTGATATCTCGCATTTTTTTTTTCAAAATGAGGTTTTTTTTATTTTTGAATCCAGAGACAAAACTGAAATTTAAAATTTAAACCGAATAAATATAATTATTTTTACTAATTATAATTTGATCATTGATCACATTTTTTACTAGAAACAATTTTTTAACCCTTTTGTCAATATTAAATTAGATATGAATGAAATAAAAAAATAGCCATGGGAAATTATAGAATGAAAACCAAAACTTTATTAATTAAAGCATCATTTTTTTATCAACCACATTTGACATAATTTATATTTAATTATTTACTCTGATTTTCCCTCTACCATTAATTTATCTAATTTATTTTATAAATTTTTTTCCTCTCTCCAAAATTTGAGCTTGCAGAGGATCTTTCGTGATTTTAAATTGATTTACAAGATTACAAAATATTTATTTAAGTTATTTGAGCTATTCGAAGTCATATTAAAATAAAATTATTATCTACAATGATCAATTTTTTAAAGATAAAATGCAATCTTGGACAAAATTCAGTACTTTAATTTAAATATTAGTATGAAAATTATAAAAAAGCGAGATAAATTTAATCTTTGGTTAAAATTTGATAGTAACTTATATTAAAAAAGATTTTACTGTTTTAGATCATTTCAATCATTTTATTAATTTCAGCATTTAATTAAAGATAAAAAAATTGTATTTCTTTCTTATTTCATTATTTTTTGTAAGATTTCCAACACTTAAAATCACTTAAAATGTAATTTCCATACCGAACTTTGATAGTGTGATAAGTATAGCTCGGCCCAAAACAAACGAGCGGCTGCCCCATTTGCGGCGAGCGGCGCCAGGACGACTGTCTCTACCCCCGCGTTATGTATTTATCGCATGCCGTCGCTTTGCTGCTTTTGTTGGGCCAGAGAAAGGCCACGATTTGAATTCATCGCCCCCGGCCTACCTGATCGCGTCCAATTTATTTAATAAATTTCCCCCGCCTAGATTATTTTATACCTGCGTGCGTGCAGCGTGGCCGTGATTGATGGGCCCTTCACGCGTATCGAAAAGTTACGGCACCACGACACCCCGCCGCCCCCTGTTAATGCGAAACGCTCCACTGCGTCTGAAAAGAATAGGAGAATAATTTACTCTCCGCTGGGGACGGACACGGCAGTTTCCTGCTGCACTATTTGCTTACCTGATTGGTCTGCCTCTGATGAAATTTTAGAACACTTTGGTCAAATTATACTTATTTTAAAGTCTGATTGAGAAAGTAATCAAAATTCCATTACTTTTTAATTAATTTCTATTAGATTCTAGAAGCCCTTGTCATTTTTAAACAGTCTTAAACATTTCGTAATCTATGAAATTTAGAAAATTTAAAAAAACGTTAACTTAATGACATTGTTGAACAAATCTTTGAAGAAAAAAATCTGATTATATAGGATTGAATATTGGAGAAAATTTTAAACCAAAGATATTAATTGCAAGAAAATTATGAAAATTTGTATTTAATATTTTGTTAACTTTTGGTAATTTTTAACTAATGAAAGCTTAAGTTAAGACATTGTTGCTGAAAACCAACAAAACATGCTCAAAATAATAATAATTTAATGTTGTCTTATTTGATGCTCATAAAATACTAAAATAATAATAATACGAGATCTTGCCCTCTGCAAGTTCAATAAGGCCACGGGCCGATAAGACTTAATGACAACAAAATAGTAAATTAATAAAAGAAAATATTGTTATGAAAGTTTTTAGTTAAAATTTGATTCTCCGTGATTTGAAGTTTAATCAAATAAACTGAGATTTTCACATTCAATTTTTGTTTAGTAACTTTTCCAATTCATTAAATTCAAACAATTTTTTCTTCCTTTCAAACATTCAAACATTTTTATTCTCACTCACTTAAAGCTGAACGTGCTTGTCCTTTTCCTCGTCCCGCTCGTCTCTTGCGCTTGTTTATTGATCCTGACTTTCCAAGCGCGGCCCTTTGGCATTTGAGCCGGTCTAAGACTTGCCTCGGATCGATTTCCCGCTGCGTACTTTGGGAATGCATAAATGCCGCCGCCGACTTGTTTACGTTACCATTTTCCGCGGAGCTCCTCACCTCCCGACATGTGTTCGTCCGCATTCCGCAGTTCCTTTGACCTCACATTTCGATTGTGCTCACCGGTCACGCTAATCGCGAATTAACATTCTCCGGCGAGAAAAGAAAGGAGCTGAAACATTGCGCGGCTCTGTGAGTTCCAAATTTTGGGTACAGAGTTTTTGAAAAGAATCACTTGTGTTTTACCGGTTTTTCCTCGAGTGATTTCCAAATTAATATTGGAATCTTAAGTCTTGGAAAAATAAAACATGGTAAAAATACATCTGGTTAAAATTAATTTAAAAAATGCGGATTTTTCATAATATTGTTTTCATTCAAATTATTCCTTTTATTGTTCACAAGTTTCCATTATTTTCGGTATAATTTCTCAATTTTCTAATTTAACAGCTAATCAAGCACACAAATAAAATCAAAGATTGTAAAATATAATTAAAAGATTATCAAACATTGGAGATTTTCTTTTGTGATAATTTCTATTTGCTGTTTATTGAAAAATCTTTTAAGTCTGAACAAGTTCTACCTCTTTTTGAAAGCAGCCAAAATGCTTGTTGTGTTATTTGTGTGCTTTTGGCCGTCTTGTTTATTTGCCCCTCACTTTTGGGTCCAAGGAGCAAAATCTGTTGAAAGAAATGCTATTAATTGTAAGCAGCGAAAACTCTCAAAAATCCCTTCTCAGAACAGCCCTCTGTATTTTTCTCTCAAAATCGTCCCTGCCACCCTCACCCAGGGGTTGTAAAGTAACCTTTTGTTGTTTGCTCTTGGAGGAAAAAAAGAATTGAGATGCTTTGTTGTGTACCTGTCGGTAGGGGAGGCAGGTCGCAGGAAAACACCTGTAAAAAGCAGCCAGGCTGGATGAGTCATGCGTCCACCCTGCTGTCAAGGTCTGCCTCTCTTGAGAAAACCAGCTCCGAATTATAAAGAGATAAATTTATGGCTCTCTTGTTTGGAATCCCCTTTTTGTCGCTGCGAGGAAAATTTATTTTTCTCACATCGCTTTTATTTAGAATTTTCAACAAAGCACGCGTCGTGTGCGTTTTGAAAGTAGAACTTTGATCTTTTCGCCGATTCGTCCCTTCACCGGCCAGCGAGCGAAACGTGGCCGGTCCATTGTTGTCATGCGAGCGCTGGCGAAACGGAAGTGCAGCAATATGGCTGACGCGATTTGGAAAATAATTTTTTGTCCAAGTGGCCGGAAACAACGCTGGAAAAGCATATAATTTGGCGCTAATTCAGCGAATTTGAATTCAGCTTACTTCATTGAGCATGAAATTTTGTTCCATTTGGCGGTCATTCATTTTTAAAAGTCCTGATCAAGTGATCAATCAATTAAATTTTTTTTAATGCCATCTGATATTTCAAAAATAATAATGCATTTAAAACTGAATAATTGAGGCCGTTAATTTTGTTAGGCATTAAAATAAATGTTCAATACAATAAAAAAGGTTTTAAAAATTATTTACTTATAAATATTTCATAAGATCATAATCATTTGAATTCAAAGTGTTTAATTGTTAAAGAATCCAAAGAAAATTATTTTTTATTTTTTTATTTTTGACATTTCAAAGCAGAGTATGATAGAGCTTGGAGAAAAAAAGCACCTAATTAGAGCCAGAGTCCTGTTGATAAGGATTTTGGTGTCGAATGAGTGCAAGAGCAGCATACATACCTCTTGTCAGTCTAGGAAGTTATTCTTGGCTCTCTTTTTGGCATGAGGTGTACAAATAATTTAAATTTTTTGATAAACGATTTTTTTTTATAAAATTATTAATTTGTTTAATTTCAAGAAGGAAAACGCGGATTTTTAGTTATAAATTTTTATTCGCAGCTGTTTTCTCTCTTGCAGGTTCACCGGTTTTGATATTATTTAGACAAGAATTTTATAAAAAGAAGGCGATTGCCGTATTTAAATGGAACTTAATTTCAAACTTTATCCCCAGGTCCACTAGTTTTGCAATTTTTAGGTCTATATTATAATTTTCAACACTGAAGACTGAAGGACAGTCCTTAATTTTTGTTGATTTAATTTAAAATGTATTTATTATTTTTGTTTTAACTCTTTACCCTACATTTATTTAACCATAAATCTGGAAGAAAATGATTATAAATTGAGTTATCTTGTGCAAAGTTTATCTTCGTTAATCCTATTTGTAATCAATATTTGCGCAAACAAATTCGGAGAACAAACAAATCGAGAGGAATTTACGAAATCAAACAAGACCGAGGTGCACCTCCGTAATTAAATATCAATCATTTGCAAAACAAGTGAGCGATTCCCCGAATTCGTCGCTCTTGAGCCGCCGCTTTCGAAAAAAAAACTTACTGATAAGTCGTCCAGCAGGACTGTCCTTATCTCATCACGCGCCATTCGATAATAAACGAGCAAATGGTATTGTCATGTTTCAGCAGCATCCGCATCGGCAGCTCTCAGCACTCGCGGCACACAGGAGGGATGCACACCCCCGAGGCGACCACCATGTGCAGCCCCCAACCGCCCCTGACGGCGGGACTCGCATTGCCCGCTATCAACAACAAGACCGAGCAGGATAAATTCACAAACAGGTGCGGCCAAATTAAATTTCGCCGCAATTAGCAATAATTAGACACCTGCTTCCTCTGCGTTAGGTGAATTTGCACGATAAGACACCTTAATGCATTTTTTCATGCTCTCCTGGCCGCGCGTAGTAAAAACGACCTTCGCCGCTAGATTTTTCGATTGCTTTGAAAACGCATTGCTCGGTTTGGCGAAATTATTTTTCAATTGTAGAAATTATAGAGAGAGTCGCAGTTATCAGAAATAACGTCACTCTTTTGTCGTCAGCGAATTTTAATCCCTCGGCAGATAACGCGTTCAATTCAATTTATATTTTGGTGTTTTCTCTGCATTCTCTCGACCCAAACTTTGGTCTTATCTCTCTAGAAGTTATGCAGCTTTGTACAGTCGAAACATAAAATTGTAAATTACTATTTGCCGTCTCTTTTATATCGAAGCGATTGTTGTGATTGAGTGCTGGCAGCAAACACGCCGGTGGACTTTGGTTGATGCAAAACATTAATTTTCTCTCCCATTGACCACGTGCGGCCGGCGACAAACGCACACAACAACAGTATAATTTGAAAATTATGGTTCTGACGTCAGCAGGAAAATGGAAATAAATTAAAATCTAGGCAAGTCTTGCATCCGTTGGTACATAAAAATAATAATAAATTATTCCTTATCACCAGCTTGGAAAGATTTTTTTTTCAAACTCCGTGATATTTAAAAAAAAAAAAAATTTCTGTTAGTGACAATTTTTGTTTCCTTTGGACAGGACAGGGCTGAATTTGAAATCGCCCTTGGTTGCAAATAAAAATAAATAAAATTGCACCGCCCGCTGGCAGAGATTAGCAACAACAATGACCCATTTGCCGTCCGACAATCATTCTCGTTTAATTTTTTCGCTGTTTATTTGCCTTTCCACCTGCGAATCGCGTGCCTCGCAGCTCGCAGGTGCGACGATTTTCGCACAAAATAATCCCTATTGTGTTTAAAAATTATTAAAATAATCGGCGTGCTCCTTCCTCTATTAAAATTCCGGCGTCGTGTGCCAATCTCGTGCCGCCTCAAAGCTTCGCGCCCAAAACAATGCCAGAAATTTCCCACGTTTTCGCACCACCTGCGCCTCATCACCGACAGTGATCACCCTCCTGGACACCTGTTTCGAAATGTTTCTAATCAGGCTCTTTTTCGCAGCATGCTGTGCCTACAGGAGGAGTTGAACAACCTCGGCATCCAGAACAAAAGCCCTGACGAGAACGCCCGCGCCCTCAGCCCCATCCCGGTCAAAATCGTCGAGTCGGAGGAATCGAGTCCCAGCGTCGAGTTCCCGAATCCGGCCACCGTGGGTTTCTTCGACGGCCTCTTTGGCTGCTTGAGGCCGGTGCTGACAATCATCGGCAAGGCGGCCGCGTCGGAACTCAAAGGACAAGGTGAGCGCCCAACAAAGGTTAATATGCAAGTGGTGCGTCACCAGTGACAAAAGCACTTAAGATCTTCAAAAAATGTTGCCTGCAAGATAAGCTGGCTAATCACGAGTTTGGTCTAAAATGACTAACGCTGGCTAAATTTGGCGCTGACCACAGACATTCCTTAGATATCTTCCAGTTTGATTGATTGTTTTTATTAAATTCCTCTTAAAATATTAAATTTTTGTTACAATATAATAATTTTATACACAATTAAAAATAAAGCAGTTGCTGTAAATCTCTGTCGATCTAAATAAGTTCATTATTGGTTGCACTAGCAATAAGAAAGTGAAATATGGCATAATTCTGATATGGTGAAATTGGCGCAGCCGGCATTATCAGCTTAATGGCCCCCATTGCATTAACGCTGAATATCCATTTCAGACGACTGGGAGATTCCATTTGAAAGCATCAGCGACCTACAATGGCTTGGCTCAGGGGCCCAAGGGGCAGTTTTCAGGGGTACCTACAAGAATGAGCATGTCGCTGTCAAGAAGGTTAGGGAGCAGAAAGAGACTGATATAAAAAATCTACGCAAACTGAACCATCAGAACGTCGTTCAGTTCAAGTGAGTTTAAAAAAAAACTAATTTCCCAATTTTCTAACTCAATTTCTTGCATTTTATCAGGGGAGTTTGTACACAAGCTCCGTGTTATTGTATCGTCATGGAATATTGTCCTTATGGGCCTCTGTACAATTTACTCAAAGAGGGTGAGAAGATTCCTCCCGGCAGGCTGATCAGTTGGGCAAAGCAGATTGCCGATGGAATGCAGTACTTGCATTCACACAAAATAATACATCGAGACCTCAAAAGCCCTAAGTATGTAGAAAATTTCAACTCTGATTTCAAAGGTCTTACAATTTCCTGTTTCAGTGTTTTGATCGGCCAGAACGAAGTAATCAAAATTAGTGATTTTGGAACGTGTCGGCAGTGGAATGAGATCAGCACCAAAATGAGTTTTGCAGGGACAGTTGCTTGGATGGCACCTGAGGTGATAAGGAATGAGCCTTGCAATGAAAAAGTTGACATTTGGTAAGAAGATTTAAATTGTTTAAAAAAACGTGCATTGTCATTGAATTTATTTTTTTGATTTCCCAGGTCATACGGCATTCTCTTGTGGGAGCTGCTGACTTGCGAGGTTCCCTACAAAGACGTTGACTCGTCTGCAATTATTTGGGGCGTCGGGTCAAACTCTCTGCAACTGCCCATTCCGGAAACCTGTCCTGTTGGGTTCAGGCTGCTCATCAAACAGTGCTGGAGTTCAAAACCTAGAAATAGGCCGTCGTTCAAGCACATCCTTATGCACCTGGAAATCGCAGCTGTCGAGTTGCGGTCGACGACGCCCGACTCGTACTACAAAACCCAAGCTACCTGGAAAGAAGAGATTCGAAGTCATCTGAAGAAGATGCAAACTGAGGGATCACACATTCCTCGAATGGAGCATGAATTGGTGGAGAAGAGGAAGCAGGAACTGAAGCATGCCGAGGACATTCGGAAGCACTATGAACGGCAACTCGAGCGAACAAACAACCTCTACATGGATGTCAATGCAATGCTTCTGCAAATCGAACAAAGAGAACGGGAGCTCAAAAAGTAATTGTTTTGTCAAGGCTTTTTTTTATAAAATGGGTTAATTAAATCTTTATTTACAGGCGTGAAAAGCAGTGTCTGTGCTACAAACCTCACAAAAGGAGAATCGTCCGTCCATTCATCAACAAAGCATCCGAACACATTCGCACTGTCCGCCGCAATTCAAACAACAGCCAAACAACCTCTCCAGACGTCCCAAGTACAAGCCCTGAAACGCCTCAAAGAGATATAATCACAGTGAGTCGCTGAGAAAATATAAAAAACAATCTCTTCAAAAACTAATTATTTGATTTAATTTTTAGGTAAGCCCCCCAAAATCTACCTTGTATACCGAGCTCGACGTCAACTCACTCACACCTCAGTCAATCGCCAGAGAGGGTTCAACAAGGGCCAGGAGGGCAAGACATCACAGGAGGACAAACAGTCAGGGCTCAAACAACATCACCCTGAGCAGTCCTGGAAAGGAAAGAAAAGTAATATACTTTGTCTTAAAATTAATGAAAGGACTTTGACTAATTTGATTTTCAGATGTCTATGCGTGTTGACAGCGAAACCCAAACAGAGCAAGCGCCCATGGAGGTGAGCGAAACCGACACCATCAAGAGCAACACCTTGGCCAACAGTCCTTACCTGAACTCCCCTGCCCTCCGAGGGTGCACCATCGAGTCCTTAAATGGCAACATTGAAATCACAAGTGACAGTGACTGCCCCATCGAGGATGCCAACAGCAATTTGCCTCCTTCGGATGGCAACGATGAACACCTAGACACCCTCGATCGCAAACTGAACGAGTTGAAGAGCGCTGCTGAAGACAAGAGTGGCATAAAGCGGACTTTCAGGATGGTTGAGAGCACTGACACCGTGGAGGACTCGATGGAGTCGAGTAGGGAGGACTTGTGTTGGTCCGAAGAGGAAGGGTCTGTCTACAGTGACCACCACGCAGCCTTCGGCCGGAGAAGCATCAGCAGGCGGCCGATCGCCCCCTGCAGGACAAGGAGGGTTGTGCTCAGGGTACCTGCGGGCAACGCGTCTGAAGACAATGAAGAAAACACCTCAGAGTACGAGCCAGGCAGTGTCCGTTCCACCCTCGAGAGCAACCCAGACTTATTGGAGCAAATGTCTGCAATGGGAGCCATGGAACTGCCGGAAGGAACAAAGTTTGAGGTAATTATTCATTTTAACAACCTGAGGTTGAATCTAATTTATCAAAATTTCAATCAGCCCAACAAAGTTGTTCCTGTTTGTTAATAGTTAAGTTAATTTGGTAATATCCTCTATTTTTATTAAATTAAAAATTATAACTTTGGGTTATGGTTTTGCATACAATTAACACTAGTTTTGTGTCAAATCGTAAGTCCTTAAATGGAAATGTGAGTTTTTTTAATTTTATTTACCCACTAAACTCCTTCCTTTATTAACGTTCAGAATCTCTTTTGTTTTCAGATGGTGGTTGACAGTTCGGAGTCGGACTCGGACGAAGGGAGCCACACAACGGTAGCCACTCAGCAGCAGCTATCGTCACCTAGGTACCACCAGAGGTGGCAATAATGATTAATTTCTGATATTTGTACAAGACAAACCAGTTTTGTTTTAACAACACTTGATTTAAACTGTACCCCAAGTAAGCTATTGACAGCTGAATGCATTGTTGGCTATTTTTTATTTATGTGACTATTTATGTGCGGTAGCTATATTTACACACACGCTCTCTTTGTATAGTGATAGCAACGTTCGAAAACTTTATTACGTAATATTTTAATGTTTTATGTACTTATAACTGCGGGAACCGAACATTCCAATTAGAACTGGATAATAACACATTCCTTTCTGTAAGAAAGATCTCAGCCTAATGGTTAAGGAGCTGTTAGACTTAAATTAGTTGTTAACAAGAAGAGTCCATTTTTGGGCCACATTAGCGTGGCAGCAAATTTGTAAAATTAAATGTATACTGTATACTTACAAAAACAGACGCAATAAACTCAGATACACAAGCATATTTGCATAGCTTTTCTGAATCAAATTTCCCTTCTCTAAATGAAATAATTTAAAACACACTTGGTGCTTTGAGCTCATATACATGCATTTCTGAATGAAAACAAAATGCTTGAAGTGTAATACATTTTTACTTATAAAAATATCTTAATTAACTGTAGTGTTTGAATATTTAAATGTTGGAAAACGTTTCGAGCCATATTTATTATCAGAAGACAAAACAATTCTGAGCTTTGTTTTATTCCTGATGTGAGGCAGTTTTGTCGAATTCTAGTAAAAATTACTCATTTTAATTTTAAGTACAAAAGTAGAAGCCAAAGGAAACCTTTAAAAAAGAATTAATATTGCTTCTGAGGATGCACCGCAAGTCGCCAAACGAAAGAGATAAGTTTATCCGTTGTCACAAAATTTATAATTTTCTTCTTCTTATAATTAACTGATTTCAAAATGGAACTCACAAATTCTTTTACATCAAATATTAAAACGTGGTTGCTTTTGAGAGAAGAGCAAGAAAGCTAAATCATTAGATCAAAGAGTTGCAACAATGCGTTTGCAAAAAGTCCGTGGGAATGTTATATTAACACACAAACAAAAAATTTCATAATTTTCATAATTTTTTATTTATTTTTAAAATTAATAGGCCTGATCAAAAATCATAAAAGTTACAATTAAATATATATTTTTAATAATTTGCAGAGTATCATTATTATTTATTAAATTTTTATTTTATCATTTATATTGAAGTTATAATTAATTTTAAATGTTTTAATCATCAATAATATTGTTCAGTGTACTGAAATAAATTATGACAAGCACGTTTTTTTTTTGGTAGCTATGCATCAACGTCACAAGGCGGATTGATTGATGCGAGTTCTATGTGCAGCTGGCAATAGGCTAGCTAGGAATCATTTTTTTAAGCCTACTTTTTTGACCATTTCTCACGTCGCTGCGCCTCTGGGAAAAGATAACATCAGAGTCAATAACAGTTCCGCATTTTATTTTCGTTTGACTGAAAATGTATTTCTGCTTTTGGCAAAATAAACCGAGACGTGAAAATTTGGAATCCCAACGAACCAATTAATAACTCACAATCATGCACAAGAAAATTAATTTTTGCACAAAATAAATTTATTTATTCAAGGTAAGAAAAGCAACAAAGGAAAATCAAAGTGGTATTTGTAGACACGAAGAAAAATGGGTGGCTCAATTTTTATTCTGATTTCAGTTCTAGAGATTTTCCTCTTTTACATCATTCAGAAGTTGAGGCAAAAATGGTCACCGAGGCAATAGTATTTATATATGGAGAGTGTGCTAAAAAGCTGACGAATTCATTTATTCAAATCTGCAGCGCCTCCTTTTATTCTGCCTGCCGCACAAAATCAACACAGTCGACGTCTCCTTTTATGTGTCTCAAGTGTGCTCAACTGTTTGCCAAATCAAAAACGTTGCGAGTTTTCTTTTCTCTTTTCCAATCGAGTTTATTCAGCGAGGAGGAAAGTTCACAATTTACATATCGGTGGAAACGACGCCACTTCTGGTGAAACTCGGAGAAGCCGCACAAACGTTGAAAAATGAAAATTTGTATATATTTGAGGAAAATATTAGATTACTTTTTCATTTCCTTTTAAGAGAAATACAGAAATTAATAAGAGCATGATTTATATTGAAAAATAATAAAGAATAATAATTCCCATGGTTTCTGTTTAATAAATTCTGAATCACATAACAAAATTTAAATTCACTTTTAGTATGTAATTAAACTAAGAAATTTTAGTCTTGTATAAATAAATATCAAGAGTAAAATATGAACACTTTTGTTAAAAATTGCCCAGATAAAAAGGTCCCTTCGAATGCTTTTATTATGCGCGCGGAATTTCTGCATGCTTCCATAATATAATTGATAAAAGAAAAAGGTTCTTTACGCTTGTTATTTCGGCAAAAGAGAAAGAATTTGAAAGGACCGGTTACTGCTTTACGTATCGTCGCAGTGGTCTTTCCATTTCCTTGACTTTTTCTCTGCAAGCAAATTTTGAGTGTGTTTTGGTTCAAAGAGCAGAAAAGTCGGCCTGTCAGCCGATGAGTATCTGTGTGTATAGAAAAAGGTGCGAGCGGAAAATTCAAAGGGTAGATCGAGTCGACGCCCCGACGGGGTGAACAGCCAACAGGCTTATCGACACATTTCCGCAATCATTTCAACGTAAAAATTGACATCTCCCTCCAGCAGGATACAAATCTTTAATCCAAGCAAAAGGTGTAAGTATTAAATATATGTACCAATAAAGGGACAACTTCTGAAGAGGAAACCTAATAAATAAAATGAGATTTAATTAAATAATTACACAAATGCGATATTAAAAAAACTTCAGGTACATACTTTGTCTCAAGACTAATTATTATTCCTTACGGTCAAATCATAATTTTGTTTCATAGTTATACATTCCAGATTTTTTTTTTATCATTCTCTGCAAAATTAATCCACCCGTCGATCTTTGCGGAATATGCCATTCAAGCTCAAAATGTATGTATGAGAGTAAAAACGGGGTATTCTATGAAAAAAAAAAAACACTAGATTCTTGGACTACTTTTGAAAAATTGCTACTAAAAAATAATTGTTTTTCTTCAATTATTTACATCGACTAATTTTGAACATGATTGACTAATAATTTTATCCAAATGTCTTCACTTTTTTTGAATAAAAATTCAGCACGGGCCAATTTTTTTGAAATTAACAAAAATTGTAGGGCATTTTTAAGCATAAAATTATAAAAAAAATTGAAGGTTACATAAAAATTGGTTTTTTGCTGAACTTATGAGTCATAAATGATAAATACTTATGTAAATTATAAAATTAATTTGCATTGTAATTTTTGCCTCTTGAACTCGGATGTTCATGGTGCGCTCTTCCCGCAGGAAGCAATTTGTTGAGTTTCTGCTTTTCCGACCGTCGTGTCCAGTATTATAATTCATAGTGACGTCTCTTCAGCTTATGTAGCAAAAAAGGCAACACACATACATACATTTTGAGCAGTAATTATTCCGCTGGAGGGTCCTCGAGTTCATTTTGTTGCACAAGCAGGCGAACTTCCGCTTTCAAATGAGCTCCTCTCCGCGTTCCCTGTTTTCAGGAAAAAAGCTTTCATATTTGCGAGGGATTTTCGGTTACTTTTTTCGGTCCCAAAACAATGGGGTCTCCAATATTCAAATGGTGTAAATAGAGACTATTAAAAAGTTATAAAGTTATTTGAATTATTTTCCTTAATACACTCCATTTTTTGTCTGTAAAATGTATGAATTGCATCATTTTTAAAATAAATCTCCAACTAAAACGGCTACTTTGAGATTTTTGAACTAATTTAAGAGTTTCTTGTGGAGCTACTATGGAATTTTTATTTGTACGCATGCTAGTTTTTAATTTTTTCCTATCAATATGAAGAGGCCTCGCTAAAGAAACTAAAACTATAAAACGTTTGACCCTTTCGAGCCTTAAAAGTTGCCTCTATTTGGAATAAAGAGAAGAAGATGTTCTACCAGAAAAATTATTAAAAATTTATCTCATTAACAGGATTTTTTATTGCGAATTTTTCTTGTTTTCCTAGTAAACAATCATTTGTTATTTTTAAAATGTGACCTCTCAAGTAAATTTAAGCTGCAAATTTTAAGGTTGTAAGTCGCGTTGGGAATAGAATGTTGCCTTTTGGCAACGGGCACATCTTTTCCCTGGAGAGAGAAAAAGTCATGAGTAGCGCTGACGAACGTCCGTGTCTTCTTTGCTATGCATTTGCTGGAAAACGGCATGAAAGGCACAAAGCGACAGCCAAACATCTCTGCAAATTTGCCTTGTTTGGGCTCGAGTCGCCTGTCCTACGTCAGCCCTTTCACTACAGCTGACTGATCTTGTCCCAAGGCAAAGGCAATGCAAACAACCCCTTTCTGATTATCGTTATAGAGGTGGCGAGGTCGGCTGTGTGCAGCTGTGAGATGACAGCAGGAGCAGGGCTGCCGCGCTTGGTGACAAGGGTGGATGATATATCTATCCTTTTCATTAATTCTTGCTACCTGTTGTTCATTCCACTATGTTCAAAAATTTTATTTCAATTTATATAGTAAGTTTATTAAAAATTAAAAATGAGTAAATGTCACAATGAGCCCCATTTAATAAATAAAAATATCGTAACAATATTACAGTCAGTTTCAGTAAATTTTATCCCTCAAATTATCTCTGTCCGTAAGGTCTAGAATATTTTAATAACGTTAAATTTTAGGCACTTCAGCGACGAATATATTTTAAAATTAAATTCCAGGTAAATAAAGCGCTTCGAGCAATGCTTTTGTTAGTTTCACAATTTTTCCTTCAGTCAAGAAATTTTATGCCTGGAATCGAAATCGCGATCGAAAGGCAGGATCAAATGATAACTTTTGACAAATTCTTGTTTCACGCCTTACAGTAATGAAAGCAAATTTTTGTATATTGATTACATTTACAGTCATGATTTTTTTTATACAAAATTCAAGAATAAAGTTTATTACTGAAGTGGTCCTTTGATATAAAAATACAAATAAATAATTCTTACAAACAAAATTTGATATAACTGTTTTTTATTTATTTTATTTATTTTTTTTTTGATGACATTGTTAGATACACGTCTGCAATCTCCCTGCTTGGGTACACGGCCTAAATTTAAAGTAAACGCGCATTTTCATTGCGTTTATAAATTATGAATTAATAATTTTAAGTATTAATAACTATATATGCATAAATTAAAAAAAAAAGAAAAAAAATTTGCAATGTTTTATCTGTTATTTTTCATTGTAAAATGTTTTTTCCCATTTTTTCCCTTGATTATATGTTATTATTAATGAATGCTTTTCTCTTGTTCAATTTTTTCATTTTTGTCTGTTCTCATTTTTGTACATACAGAACTTGCTGTAGCGCCCTTGGCACCGCTGCCGCTAATAAATGCGATCGCTCTCATTAATTAGCAGAGATCGGAACGTGTTCGTTGTGATTTGCATGTCAAGCCCCGCTCTGATGATACGCCGAGCCGTAATTGACGAATAATAATATCAAAACACCACTAGCTACTCGCGGCGACAGCTTTAATTAGAGAGGCCGCACAACGCGCAACGCACACATAGGCATTCTGCCGTGCACCCCAGACATGCGGGTCTGCCTACGCAAACATTTCACTCGCCGATATATTTTGTGCTCCGCTGAAACCTTTTATTTAGGCCTTGCTACTCTTGCTCTATTATTTATATCGCGATAGATTTTAATTGTTTGAATTATATCGAACGTCACCAGTCTTTTGTCGACTCTAAAATTAGAGGAAAAAAGATTTTAACCAAAAGCATGACCTTAGATATTCCCGTTTTTTCCAAGACTGCACTCGTAAACGCTGTCGTGCTGAAGTGCTAGCTGGTTTTCTTAAGGGTGAAGCTGCTTCTGTGTGTCATCAGCGGTTGCTTCATTGGAACATGTCCGAGGGTCTGATCGAATCGACTGATATTTCACCGACCTACTCTACTGAAAGAGTGGCTCTCTCTGCAACAAACACGAATGAATTTCGAGACGCAAGCGATTTTTATTTTGCTGACAGGGAGAGCAATCAGAGAAAACAAAAGCTGAATAACCCAGAAGTGGGGTGAAGAAACAACCACAAGATTTTACACGTGATTAATTATGTCTGTGAATCAACAATCACGAAAGGGGAAAATATTAAACTAATAATAAAGAATGTGAAATGTCTCTTTATTATATTATATTTGATTATTTTTTTTTTAAATTATTTATAAATATTCAAAAGTATCTTTACAATAAAAGATTTTTTTATTTAAAGTTTTTCCGTGTTTTTATTAATAAAACTATTAAAGTTTATTTAAATTCTAATTTTTTGTAAATATCTAGTCTCTATGTCTAGTCAATCGCTAACGCATGAAATACAATTTTTCAGAAAAAGTTTGAAATCTTGAAATTTTCATGACCTAAAGTTTTGAAAGAAAATTATTTTTTTTGTTTATTGTGCCAAGGCAGTCTCATCTCAACGACCAATCTCACTGTCATACATTAATGAGTTTAATTAAATTATTTAGTTCGAAACATTTAAAAAATCTTTTGGCTTGCCTGGGGAGCTGAAGTTTCAGGTCGCAGGTACCTACGAGAATAATCTGGCAGCAAAAATTCATATTTAGATTTAAAAAAACATCATGCCAATTCAATTTACTACGGAAGAAGTGTAAATACCTGTGAATCCTCTTTTTAATGCACTCTGACGTCTCTGACCTTTTTCACTCTGACTCTATAAAATTGCTGCTCTCTCGTCTTTGAAAAGTTGGTTCTTTGATTTGGAAGAAAGAGGAAGGTCTTGATAATGGCGAGCATCCATTCATCTACAAAAAAAGAACCAAAAGAAGTAGCTGGGTGCATTCGTCAATAGACAGGCAGGCCTATCGATTCGCCGCGAGATAGATTGAAATCTGGCGCGCACAATGCTGGCCGTTATTACCTCGTGGGCTTATCCTTTGATACAAGGAAACGAGTGAGAGCTTTTATTATGGGCTACTTATACTCTTTCTCGCCCCTTCACTGCCAATTTTTATTTTACGACTCGGTGATAAAAAAAAAGAGAGGAAAAAAATGCATTTTCCATTGCGAATCCGAATCTGTGGGCTTACTTTGGTCGGACGGATTTCAGGCCCCCCGGAGAGCTTTTGTGCGATTATTTTGAAATTACCCTCGCGAGAGAATGAAGCTCACTCTGGGGTTGGCCACTTGTGTGCCGAGTTGTGCTGCGTGTTGCTCGCTCGCAGCCGTGACGGGATTTGAATTAATTAATAATTTCGTGTGCAGATTAGAAGCACAACTGCTACCGCAAATTCATTTACATCGTAATGGAACGCGCCCAGGTTTAATTATTTCGTCAACTGAGCTATACGGATGGTTCAGATGCATTGGTTGAAATGTTTCAAATTGGATTAGAATCAAATCACGTAAAATTTAATGCTGGCTCCTTTTGATGAAATGGTTTCATTTCGTGTAAATTATGAATGATTTAATCTAGAATTTATTATAAATTATTTAATTAATTATAAAAATCTGTTTCATACTTAAAAATCAGCTCTACAGCACTATTTGATACTTATTGTTTATTATAAAAATTGTATTTTTTCAACTCTTTGGGCATAAATCGTAATTAAAAGTTTATCATAATTTCGAAATTACCGGTTTTAAATTTTTAAATTGTTAAATTTTGTTATTTAAACAATATTCAAATTCCATAAATGTCAACATAGAATAGCTTTTTGTGTGGTATTACTAAAAAAAATATAATATTTATAAATATCTAGTTTTATTTGTATTCTATAAAATTTTCATCTTGCCACTACTGCATATTTACACGAAGCGGCAGCGCATCTTGCCGCGGGGCGATTGCATATTTGCATTTATATTGTCCTGATATTTCCATCAAACTCCATTGCGCCCTTCGCTTCGTACGGTGGGGAGGAATAAAACGAGCCTGAGACACCCCATTAAAGCCCATCAGGAAATAAGATGCCCTTTCTTGTTGGCTTCCCACGTGAAAACTCTCAAGTGAGCGTTCGTGATTGCAAAAAGTCGAAAGTCAACGCACCCGAAAATTTGTCTCTGGAAATGCGAAAGAAATGAACTTCCCGTATTTTAGTAATCAATTATTTTTAATAACTCGTCAAAATAAAACTTTTCCACCCTTTCAATTTTTTTATAAGTTTTTACATAGCAGGAACTTAAAGAATTTAATTTATTTATTAAAAAAAGGAAAAAAACACTCCATGAGCGTAAAAAGTGGTTAGGATAAAAAAAGTTGAGAACAATTTTATTCTCTGGAATTGTTTTCAGGCAACTGTTTTTTTATATGCACATGGAATAAAAGTAATCAACAACGTCAATTTCATCTCGTTGAATGATTGATTTTGCGTTTGAAATTATTTCGGAGAAGCGAAAACGAATGAAAGAGTAATTGACGCTGTCACCAGCTGAATATACGAACCCAATACGCGCGCTAAATGGAGCTGATCTCGTGGGCGTTGAAACGTTCGGTCTACAGAATATTGATGTCGACATTGGCACCAGCACACCTGCCAAAGACAGCCATGCAGAGCTGGCGTTGTCAATGTGCCGGGATAATTATTATTCGCTGTAATATACAGGCCTGAGCTGTTGAACAGGTCGCGTGTTAATGTTTAAAGCTTATCAACGAAACCCTGCAGCTCAGGACGGAATACATTCTGAGTGGGCGAGCGAATATGTCGGGGGTGGTATTACCTTTGGCGGTAGTTTGCTGGTGGAAATCCAGACAAAGTTTGTGAGACAAATAAATATGGTAATTTTGAGGCTCAGCGTGAAGAAAATTGAGTTTGCGTAGCAAGAAACAAGAAGTCTTTATAAAGCTAGAATAAAAAAAATACAAAGGCCATTTCTCTGTTCAACTTCTTTAATGCTTTTTGTTTAAGTATTTGATTATTTGGAACTATGGAAAGAAAAGGTTATTTTTTAGTGAACGATTGTTTTATTTTTAAATAAGAGTAAATCAGAAATTAAATTTTGTTAAGGATGCAAAAAAAATAGATATAATCAAAATATAACAAAAAGTCGACACACCTTGGAAAAAGATTACTCTATTTTATTAGCAAAATTCTTACTGAAAGTGGCGTCTTTTTGTCTGCTGTTTAACCAACATCCATTTACGCGTTTTTCATTTTTCTCTGTCATGTAAAAATCGTAAAAATAATTATCAACTCTTTATGTACATTTGGACAAATGATTGATAATCATTAAATGTTTGATAAAAACAAAAAGTTAACCTGCAAGTTTAGCTGGAGAAGTCATTCATAATTAATATTTCTTGCATTTCCCCGGCCAGTCAGAACAAGTTTGTTTCACTTTGCGTATATGGAGTTTTGTATTTGCGAGTAGAGTTGCCTATGTGCGTCGGCATTAATTTACATTTGCAAATATTAGAGCAGCGCCTCGGTTTTCGCCGCACTACATATTATCCGTCGTCACAATTCCCATTATAATTGCCGGAGGCAATCTTATCTGCTCCGCAATGAGGATTTACTCGCGCGTGCCTAGCCAAACTCGGAAATTGCGTATATGTGTGCGCAAAGTTTCATTGAAAAGTTAAACCATCGTTAATTTGTATTTTTGGCACGCTTTCACACCCTCAAGTTTGAGAGTAAAATGCTTTTTTGCCAAGTTTCAACTAATTTTTGATGTTATTAAAATAAATGATTATTCAAATTTAAGTGTAATTATTGTTCATTTATACTGTCATTAAGTAGGCAGGCAATAGTAAAATAATTATTATTGCATTTTTTCCTTCCATTTAACAATAAATTTCTCTTACTGGGTCACATAAATAAATTTCTAGAAAACACAGACCTGTTATAAACAAGAGGCGATGGAGCAGCTGGGAAGGGCTGCAATTTATTTTTTCGACCGGTGGAGATAAAATGCAAAGGACGATCAGCTTAGTTGCGGTGGTGCACCGTGCCAAAGCTATTAAGCCTCTTTTTTACTTTTTTTTTTACATTATGCGATTTGAGGTCTGAAGGGATTCGTGGCGCACCAACACAACTCGCAGTCTCGCAGCTAAATAGAACGTTTAATGCCGCGTAAAATTGGAAATTTATCGATTTAAATATCCTGCAATCAAAGCGAGCCGCATTTTGTGCAAATAGGTATTAAGTGATTAGCGACGAATCAAATTTGGACATTTCTGTAAAATAGAATATAGATTTTATTTCAATCAATGCGATATGTGACATTTATACATTTCATAATTTTTATATTCTTTCTACCTCTCTATGGGTCAGATTATGAAAGGACGCGTATATTTGATTATTATACGTACCAATTTTACACACTGAACACACAAATTTATGGCCTAGATTGATGATCTTGTCCTTTAAGCAACACACTTTTATGGATCACTAACTATAAAAAAAAGAAAGCAGCACAAGCAAGTGCAATTTTTTTCTGATATGAAATGTTGACGTTCGCTCGAGAAATAGCATTATTTATATTGTATTTTTACGGGTAAATGCACACTTAATCTTGACACCAAATACATTTTTATGCAATACATTATAGTACAACGCTTCGCAGTCCTTAGAAAAATAGTCTTGTCTTTCTCCAACTATCTGTGCTTTTATTACTTTTGCGCAGTTGTTACAGTATAATATATTTTTTATGTGTTTCTTCAGCTGATATTTATTTACAACATTCTTTGTGTTACTTTCTCATCACTGAAAACAATATACAGTATGCGTATCACAAATCACACTATGCCCGATCTGAAGTTCTATAGAAAGAAAACGCTGACATTTCTCTAGAAGAATTTGATTTTGATTTATTGCATCGTCAGATAATTTACCCTGTGAGCGAATACACTCGGCAAATAAATCGTTCCTCTCTATATAAATACCAAGAATATTTATATATACTAATGAAAGACGCTAAAACGAGAATGAGAAATTTTGAACCGTCTATAATATAAGAGTCGGAGTAATTTTTCTCGCACCAACAAGGAAAGGCCACTCGAAGATCGACTAGCTTTTCTCAATTAAGTTAATTGCAGTTCACTCGAGAATGTGTAGGTCCTCCATCGAGTGCGCCTGGCTGAGGGCTTGATAGTTGATGTTCCTGCTGCCTGGATACCACTGCTCGGGGGTGGCGACCGCCTCCTCCTCTGCATCCACGTCTGGCAGCAGCAGCATCGTCATGGACGCCGACGCCGAGCACGGCTCACACGAATTCCGACGCCCTTTTGAAGGGCATCGGCCGTCAGCAACTAAAGTCAGCGAATCGGCATGTCTGAAACAAAAATGTGAACGAGTTAAAAAAAGCGCCATGAAAAATTCGCTAATTGTTATTATTAAAAAAAACAATAGTTAATTTTATTTTGAAAAGAGAAAAATAAGTTTTTGGTTTTTTTTTTCAAGCTACTTTCTTGTCATGTGATTTGATTTTAGGCGAACGGATCTGCTCCTTTGTGACTAATTTTCTGTGGTCAATATGTAATGATTACAAAGAAGAATATATATCATTTATTTAAATAAAATTCAAAATTGTTAGCAACGAAATTGCAACGGCAGCAGATATGACGACAGTAACAAAATCTGATTCTCTACTAAATATACTTAATTTATTTGTGAGAGGTGGTGACCTATTTTGTAATTTTAAATTAAATTGTATTTGTGAAGTTCAAAATTTGATAAATTTGAAACTGAAGATCAATCTTGCGTTTTAATTAAGTGTGTTTTAATTTTTAATTTGAGAAAATATTCAGTTGCATGGTAATTATTGTGGATTGTAGGACTAATAAAATTTCTAAATAAAAAAAGGAGATCTTTACATTCAATTTGAACGCGTTAATTATTGTTTTTCCATTAGCCGCGCGAGTACTCGATCCTTCATGACCTCGGTTGAAGTGCACGCCACGGAGAAAAGCCATTTCGTAAAGAGAAGCTGGAAAAGCAGCCGCAACCAATTTTTCTTCCGAAGAGAAAAACCAAGCGCGCGCCACATGTTTTTCCTCGCCAGCAGAGCGGTGTCTGCAATAAGGAGGGCGAACGAGAATACATATATGGGAAAATCACCGTATCGTTTTTTTTCCGCTACTCTCGGATATTTTCATTTCCCAGCCAGAAAAAAGTGAACCGATAACCGTTGAGGATAATTTTTCAGCAAAATTTCTATTCTGCGCGTTGGCGAGGAAAGCAATAATTGGGCCGAAACAAATTAAAATGCCATCAATTTGCTCTTCTCTCGAGACGCCCAAACTAATTGCAGGCCATGCCCCAGTGCGAGATTGTTTCTCAAGCGTCGCCATTACCACCCTAGGAGACACCGCCATTAATTTTAGGTCGGGGGCCAATTTAAATTCAGTTCGTCTACTTCGTCTGACCGCCCGCGGGCCGAGTCCCCTGCCCGTTTGATGAGATACCCTGCTCACATGACTAATGTTGCCCTTAATACTAAAGGCGGGAAATTTACATACACTCTGAAGTGACGTGTGGAATGTGATATATATGAGCAGGAAATTCCACTGATTAACCCCTTCTATATCCCTGTTAGCCGCTGTCGGCACGATTTCAAGTGTGAGACATGATGTGTGCTTTTGCGTTCCGGATTAACCAACAACTATTCAACCCCTTTTGCTATCTGTCTGCCCGGTTCAACGGCTTATTTGGTGAGGCGTATTTTTCTTTTTTTACATTTTGGTGTGCATTTTGGATCAGAAAGATCGTTAGAATAGCGTAACATTTTGATAACTTAAATTAAAACAAGTTTGGAAAATAATATACGTTAATTTTTGTTATTTAAAAGTAATTACAAATTTAAATTTGTAGTAACAATAATGTCCCTTTTTATTTAAAAATTTTTTTTTATCATTTTATTTTATAAATATTAATTTATAATAAATTTTTATTTAAAATTGTTTTTAGCAAATGTTTTTATAACCATTTTATTTAAGTAATATTTAAAATTTTGTTGCCATGTTAGAGTGAATCTAATTTGAATGCTTCTAACAGAAGAATTCTTTTTGCCCTATACAAATATCTAAAATTTTTATGATAAAATTAGAATCAAGTACATTATTCTCAACAAAAAATTGTAAATTATTCCGCATCTAATTACTTATCAGAACCACTGGTCAATTTGAAAAATTTCACTTATGTTAAAATATTTTTCCTATATCTCAATTACGTGATATTGATTAATATAAGGTATTGAAAATTTTGGCTATTGAAATTTCCACATAAAATCAAATAAAAACAAAAAAATATGTAATACTGGAATTAAAATAATAAAAAAAAGTAGCACATTTTATTTAATAAAAATCTAGAGGAAAATCTTGAGATCCTTTTTATGTTTTCTGCCAAAAAGATCTAATTTGTTTAACTGAAATAACAAATGATTCTTACACAAATAATTCCCAGTGTAAATTTGATATAATTTTTGTGATTTTATTTCTATTAGCAATGGCAATATTAGAGAAAAAGCAAAAAAACCGTATAGTTCCAACTGAAGTAAAGGATTGTTAATGAAGTTTGTTTTGTTTTCCAGTGAAAAGAACTGAAAAAATTTCTCCAGTTATTTCTACCTCCATATTTTCTTCCTTTATCAAAAATGTTTGCACGGAAAAAGGAGTAGTTTTGTAGAAAAAAACTGCCCTTTGTTTTTGTATGTGAAAAGAGTGGAGATCTAATGACTTGCTTGCTCTCAAAGCAAAAGTATGTGTACAAAATATAATAGAGAAACACAGAGGCTTTTCGCTCGGGTGGCACAGAAGGAATAAAACACGTCCTGAGAATTCCATTCGCGAGACAATCGCATTGTTTCTTCTTTGCCGGGAGGAGATCGATTCCGCCGCCGCGGATGAATGGGAAGAAGAAATGTGCAGCCATTTGAAACACAAAGGCGGTCGGAATTGAGGAGCAAATTGCCGCTCGCCGGATCATTTGTGGCAGAGAGAGAGACTTACTCTCTCTGTCAGATTCAAAGGAACACAATTTCCCAGAGTGATTGCAGCCGAGATAGAAAGCAGACCTCGGCTTTCTTTTGCCCTGAAACTCGGGCGTTAGTTGCGGGTTGCCTACCGCATTCCAATTACTCCCGTCGCTGTTTGCGCCCAACTTTCCACCGCCTAATAATAAGTGAATTACGTCCAATTATCGGACTTAACGTTAGGGGAGAGAAGTTTCAACTTTGGCAAGCTGCCATTAAAGTAATATGAGCTGTGGCCGATGCCGAAAGCACTTGAATGAAATTTGCACTGATGTGGTCTTGGGTAAGCGCAGGTATTAAATCTGTTGAGCGCCTCCAAAGGGGTTTATAGTTTGGCAAACAATTAATATTTTGGATAATGGATATTATATGGTTAGACTGACGGAGAAATCGTAGTTCTCTGTAAAAAACTAATTTTTTGGTTTTAAATTTTATTTGACAAATCGTTTTGAACCAATAAGTCATCTATTATGATTCTATGTAAGTAAAATTCAATTAAAAAGTTTTAAATTGGTTACAAAATTTATAAACGCACTTAATTTTAAGTACGTAAAAGCATTATAATTTGATTGATTTTATTATTCACAAAAATATAATAAGTTTTGCTTCAATTTTCATATAGTTCTGAATAACCATCATCTATCATTAAATGGAAATGATTAAAAATTACTTAAAATCTTGAAAAAAATTTGGTCTTAACAAACCAATGTCCGAATGAATTTCGCAGGAAATTAAAAAAAATCTATTATTTTCTGCGGCTTGAAATTGCATTAAGTAATGCCGCTAAAATTTAACCAGTCATTGTTTTTGAATTTTTTTTCAAGACCAAAAAATAGTTGGAGATGATGATATTTTTCTGCGACCCTTATCTTATATTGATAATTCCAAAGATGACATTTGTTTACTTTCACATATTCTTGGAATTTAATTTTCCGCTCTGACTGAAGAGGCATCATAAATTTCTGTTTCAAGGTTTTGAACGAAATATGCAAATCCTGACGCTTAGCTGGATTTCGTTATAAATCAGGATGAAAGATAAACACATTAACAACTGAACGTAAATCATCTCCTGAGGCAAAATTAAATTACGAGAGCACTCCTTTCAGATGAGCCATAACAGCTTTCATGAAAATGAATAGCTGGCGAATGGAAATATTTAGAGAATGAAAAATAGTTCAGCGTTACGCCTGTTAGATTTAAATTGAATTCAAACAAATTCACACAGTGTATTTTGGAATGAATCGGAATTAATGAGATGCAAAATTAATCGTTAAAAGCGTTCCTTTTTATAAAATTCTTTATGCAATTTTTATTTCACACATCTAAAGGGATGAAAATTCTTATTGTTGGACAACTTAAAAACTTGTTAAATAAGAATACAAAATGAATGAAGAGTTATGAATAAGGAAAAGAAAAAATTTGATACCCTTCAAACCTCAAATTATTTAACCTGTTTGAGCTACTCCAAGGTATAAAAACAAAAATTAACAGATTTTGGGTAATTTTCTTATAAAAATATGTAAGCTGAAATAAAATGAATTTTAAAATACTTTCATCTCCTCTTGACCCTTTAAAAATTTTTTGATAATTATCCAGTATTATATTATTCTAATAAAATTTTTAAATTAATTATTTTTTTTTTATTTTGAACCTTCCCATAATTTTATTTGCACCATCAATAAAAATATTTTTATTGCAAAAAATGCTATTCAGTGCCACATTTATTTCCTCAATCGTTAAAATTTTACGCTTTGACGCGTCCCAGTTTGATATTGAAATCGTCCACACGAGAACAATAAAAAGCGTGTGCTGGGCGATAATTACCGCGAAAAAGTCGAGGAGGCGCGTGCGTGCATCTTCATTAAAACTGTGCACGGAGCGTTGCGAAGGAATGGGCAATAAAAAGGAACGAGAGAAGCCGCCGCAGATAAAAATAAAGCCGCGCACCAACAGCACCCGGCGGAATAATCATGATAATCGATTTTAATGAGACCGGTGCGGCCATTATTATCAGTTGGCGAACACCGGCTTTTGTGAATACGGAGGCAGAGAGTGTTTCGCGCCGCACGGAAGCGCTCTTTCAACAGACACGAAATAAAAGAAGCAAAAAATTCTCCCTGTCCTTATGAAAAATTTCGCGGTCTCTGATTACGCAATTCGTCTCTTCTGCACGGTGGATGTCACAAAAAATCGGGAAGCACAAGGTTTTCAAAGATCGAAGGTAAAATTAATAATACCTACTATGAAATATATTTCAAATAATGATTCAATGTACAACAAGGAGATAAAAAGTTTTACAAAAATAAGTTATAGCCAAAAACTATTTTTTTAAAAAAAATTTTACTTAGAATATTATTTGATCATTAATTTTTTTGAGTAAATATAATATTTATTTTATTAAATAAACTTTTAAAAATATCTTTAATAATATCTAAATTTAAACTATTCCATAACTCATAAATGTATCCATTATTTAAAAAAATGCGCTATTGAAAACCACAAAATGTTAAAAAAATTAAATTAAATTTTAAAGTCTTCTATGAGCTACTAATTTATTCTAAAATCTAATGCTTATTATTACTTCGCAATCGTTACCATTATGTTGTGAATATGGAATTGCAATAAATCATATATTTCATATATTTAAAAAAAAAATGAGTCTCATAAGCTCATACACTGAAACTAAGTAAATAAGTGTGGTAAATTTAATTGACGAGAATCGAAAGAATGTGGAACCACCAGTGAAATTTCTTTAATGGCCATTAAAGAAATATGAAAGATTTCACTTAAAATTCACTTGGGTGGTTCCAAATTCCTTCAATTCTTATCCATTAAATTTTAACACTTCAACTTACTATCAAAAATTATCAAGATTCTTGAATGTAGTATTAAATTATTTTTGCATAATATATGTGTCACTAAAACAAATCATAACAGTGAAACGTTTAGTAGCGGAGTATTAAAAAAATTCTCTGGCATGATTGAATTGAACATATTTCCAGTCTAATTTTCCATAAGTGTCTAAGAGAAAAGGAAAAGGCAAAATAGAGAATCCTGATAAAAAAAGGTTTTTTCTTCACTTATTGTTGGTCTGAATCAAGAATAAGAACGTTTTTCTATTATTTCTTATTTTATTTGGAAAAAAAGCACTTTGTAAAGGAATGGAAATGACAAATATTTTATTTTATATATATCTGAAATATATTTCTTAATTAATAAGAAAGAGCAAAAAATGATGACTTACATATACACATGTTTCACATTATGTAAAATTAAGTAAAAAAGCTAGAATACTTCACAATTAGAGGCAAGGAGGGTGCTGCTATTCAATAGAAAAAAAAATTAAATAAGAAAAGTTAAAAAAAAATCATCAATGAATAGCCAACTTCAAATTTATTTCACAAAGCCCAAATAGTGTTCAATATATTTAAGGCCAGTTTTTTTTGTGGTCAAACTATTTATATGGTTGGAAGAAATTGATTTTTTTTTTCAAATTTTTTACTCACCCTGCAGAGACGAGTTTTGATAACGCAGCGGCCGAGTGAAGTTGCGAGTGGTTTCTGATGTTGCAGAAATGGACGACGGTCATGATGCCGAAAATGAACGCGAAGTTGACGGCGCAGGTGATGGCGATCACGATCAGCACCTCGTTGGGGCCGTAACACACTTCGTGGCCGGCGGCCGTTGAGTTGTGGTGGTGCGAGCGGTGGGGGCGGCCGCGGCCGTGGTGGTGCCGATGCCTGGTCGGCGACGGCGGCAACCACCACGAACTGTTATTGTCCGAGCGTCCCGAGGACAAGCGGTTGCCGCGTTGCAGCCGCTCCAGGTACTGTTTCTCCGACGCCATGTCCACGTCGGCCGTGTCCGACTGAGACAACACGCTGGACAGGTGCCGACCCAGCACCGAAAAAAGGGCGCCTCCCTCCGAGGAGGACGTTTCATCTGCAACAGACATCAACAACTTTTAAGGCATTGCGCGAAATAAGAAAAGAAATTTTAATTTCATAAGCAAAGGAAAAGTGAACAAAATTATAAGTTTGAAACAAACTTTAAAATTAAATTTCCTCATATAGCCACTTGTATCGTCTTCTCAGAGAAAAACTTATATATTTTTAAAACACATTCCTTAGAGAAAGATAGCTTTTAATTCAAAGTTAGGGATTTTTATATTACTATTTTTTAACATTACAATTATTGATAATTTTGAAAACTTAAAATTGTATTTTCCCCTTAAAAAAAATTAATAAAAAATGCCAGATTAAAATTAATTAATTAATTTTATCTCAGATCATCACTAAAAAAATTAGCAAAATTATATTATGAAGCAAGCTTGGTCTTAAATGTTATAATTGGTTATATGTCAGTTTATTTAAATTTTAAATACAAAAATGCACATGAGGGCTTGTGAAAAGGCTGTATTAAATTATGGGCATATCTTTAATTATCTAAACAGAATATTAATAATTCTATTTTCAGCGTCACATATCATGATAGCTTTTGATTTTTTTTATTTATCCTTTAAATTGTAGTTATTCTATTATTATTATTTTAATAAACAATCAAACGGCGAGAAATATAACAAAAGGGTTAAATACTAGTTGAAAATGAAGCACACGGTTTTACAGAATTGTTGTGTAGAATTGAAGAAGAATTTTTTAATCTGATAGATTTCACATTTTTGCACGCTTGGATTGCAAAAAATTTACTTCCTCTAGCGCTGAATTGTTTATATGTATATATATTTTTTTTTTTTTTTTTATGAAACCAAACCTTCTTTCTGAATTTTATTATTTATTTATTCTTAAAATATAATCTTTTCAGCGAGTTTGAATAAAATCTTATTAAATAGTTTAATTTTGTAATTTTAAATTAAAATCAGAGAATTTTCTATGATTTCTTTAGATTTGAGAAATGACGGGTGAAAAAGTCGAGGCGCGATCTTCATTGGGGCGGGATAACGATGCACACAATACCCTACAAACGAGCAAACAAAATTGAAGACTCGATTTGCTACTTATCAACAACATGCAACGGCAACATAAATGTATTAACGTTAGTCTGTTTTCCGCAGCGACAAGTGCTCCGCTGCTACTTTTATTACACAATTGCACGCCGTCCTGTGCCTCGCTTGAGCGCATCAAAAGAGCCGACAGTGTGTAATTTTATGTTATTCAGCACGGCAAACACATCCAGGATATTAAATTACGCTCTGCATTATCCGAATTCTGAAGCGCTCCTCATTACTCGCAATTATTTAAAAGCGTTGGAAATTTTTCTAAATCACGTGGGAAATTCAGCCCGGTCATTTTTTTTGTAACAGAAAGAATTTTCTCCCATTTTTTTTTTTCAATTTTGAATATTTTAAATTGTTCTTTATGTGCATGTGGAAAATACAATATAAAAATTGTATTTTTAACAATTTGAGTGGAATTTTTTATCCAGGACAGGATATTTCTGTTTTCCTTCAATATAAAAGGAAATTGTAAAAATACAAAATTATAGTAAGTAAAATTGCTTATTTCTCAAAATCAACTCAAGAACATATTTTTTGTACAGGGAAATTCCTGAAGGCACCAGTGATTAAAATAAAGAACATTTTCAAAACATAAAACTGTTAAAAAACTTTTTAATTAAGAGCAGGGTAGAAGTTTCAGAAATTTCTTGTAAAAGAAAATCTAAGTCCCGGAATCAAATTTTCCTCCAGGGGGAAGAAGCTCTAACCCTTGCTCTAGACTTCCCTGCTCTGCTCCTTTAAATGCATTCTCAAGGGAAACCATCAAAATCGAGTTGATGAGACGCCCACCCACTATTTTACACGGGCCGTTTTATTTGGGGCACACATGGGACTCGGACGAAGGAAAATCGCTGCTCGATCAATCAGCCCGTACGCTCCGTCGGCACCGGCAAATTTGATCAGGATCTGTGCGTCGATGATTCGCAGTCGTCGTAACAAGGAAATAATATTGCGACGAGACTTATTTCCGTCCGATGGACCGAAAAAAGTTTCTTTCGAACCGAACAATTCCTTGAAGAGTAAAAGAATTCACGATACAGTTTCTACTCAAGTGAAAAAGTTTTCAAGAAGCCCAGCCTTTTCTTTGTATAATAAGAAATAAAAATTCGCAATTAAAAATTTACATAGTTAATTATTTTTTGTTAAAGTCATTAAAATATACACGAAAAAATTTATATACTTTTTTTAAAAATGAAAACATTTATTTAATATTTTTATTATTGGCTGTAATTTTAAATACAGTATAATTGTTAATTTTTAATATTTGATACGTTTATCAGTATTAACGTTGAAAAATAATATTTATTTCGATTTATTTAAAAAAAAAAAATAAATAAATAATGTGCATTGTTTCTTTACTAATTTGTCAAAGTTATTACAGCACATTAAATGTCATCTTGGACTCTTATCCAAATAGTGAGAAATTAAAAATCAGATCATATATATTATTCCTGCACCCAATGATTGCCCTTATCAAGAAACATATTGTTAAATATAAAAATGTGATATAACATTTAGGACAAATTATGAACACTAGTGAAAAAAAGTAGCCGGCTAAGAAATACAAGTAGATAGTGTTAAAAATGAAAAAAGGAATCTGAATTTACAAATGTCCAACAAATTATTTAACTTTAAACAAAATTTAAATTTGTAGTTAGAAACGTTTTTGCCAAACGAACATTTTTATTTTTTGTAAAAGAGAGAAAAGAAGTAAATATACAGTAAATTTTACTTCTCTTATTGTCTCCTGATTACAGAAAAATTAAAAATACCAAATATTGTACAAGGACGCCGAGGTCACACGTCTCTCATCTTGTAATTGGAGCGAGTGATACGTAATGTTGTGTTGCCGGCAGAATGAGTGCGAGACCCGCTGCTCACTCATTGTCAGAGCATTCGTAAATTTGGTGCTCGGCGAGGAGGCATTTCGCTCAACAGCCCTCATGCCGTGTGCAGACTTTTCCTCAAAGTGAAGATTTCTTCAGCCGTCACTCGCAGTGTCGCAGCACCCACTCCTTTTCTAGCTCGACCAAAATGATTTCATTTGCATTTCCACACGACGGCACGTCGACAATGGAGAGTCGCAGTCACTCTCCTAAGGGTTTCTTTCATTGGATGGAAAGAAAGCACAAAAAACCTTGGGGTCCGAGACGAAAAAACTCATTCCACTGAAACTTGCAAATTCAGACTTGAAAGGATTTCAGATTCATATAAATAAATTTATTTTGAGAAAGATACTGTATCTTTACGATTTTTTTTTAATGTTATAATTTAAAATGTCCAAATAAAAGCCTTATTTACACCAATAAAATACAAGATAGGCTTCTTTAAATTCTATTGAAGTAAAATAAAATATATTTTATCAAATAAAAACTGATGCTTTTCTCAATGAATTTTTTTGCCTATTCAATTTTTTGTTGTGTTGATAATCTGAACTGATTATTGAAAACAAATGCTACTGTTTTGAAAAACAAAATTTTTTTGCATGATTGTCTTCGATAATCAGTCCAGATTTTCAACATAACAAAAATTGAATAACAGACAAAAATTTCATGATTCCACCAATTTTCAGTTCTTAAAAAAAAAAGAAAAATAATCAAGTTGGTGCAGATATAAAAAAAGTCACAAAGTAATATGAAAATTTGTTTGCATGTTTTGGGAAAAAACCCAAAATATTTGATTTTATTCTTATATTTCGAATCAGAATGTCAAATTTGCAAAGATCCCTCTACGATCAGAATGAAATCCACGTCGAATGAATAAAAGGATTTTTATCACATGAAAAGTCCTCGATGTCAGATTTATGCAATGCATCGACGCAACACCGTCCCATGTATCAATGTCAACAATAATCCCATTCGGAGCCAAATTGTAACTCCTCGTCCCCTTTAAAGGCAAATCGGATTGAATCAAATATTTGCACACAACAACCGCCATTCCCATCATCATAATCGATAGGCGCCGACGAGTCACTTTATGCTCAGATAAGTTTGCGGTCTGTGCACACAATCTGCGTTTGCACGCACGCGAGTGTGGGTGTTGAGTGACTGACTGCCGGCCTCGGGCCTCTAATGGTGACCAAATTTCTGTTTATCAATACACATCACTGAATGTGTTTTTGGGTAGCCAATTACTCTGTGACGAAGACTAGCCCCTCCATCACATTTTCACTTACATAAATAATTTAATTTTGGATCTAAAAGAGGAAATTGATTGTTCTTGGATATCAAATTTGCCTTCTACGCCTATTTTGTGTCCAAATAAGTCTTGATCCTATAATTTAAACTCCCTCATTCTTATAATAATAAAAAATCACAATTGTTAAATACCTAAATTTCGGCCTAGTTTTGTTTTTCAAAAGCATTATTTCATTATTTTGAAGAAGTTGATTTGCTTTAAATGCTAAAAGATACCTCTAGAGGATATTTCAAAACATTCTTAAGTGTGAAAGCGAAAAATTTGTTCTATCTTAAAATTATTTTAAATCCTGATTCTGATTTAAAATAATATATAACGCCGTTGTTACAAAAAGATTTATTAGCGAATAATAAAAATTTTAATATAATGTTTAAAGAACTTCATTTCACGTGGCTTGATCTAAACATAAATTGGAAAAGGAAAACCTATCTATCTTAACTATTTCCAGAGGGATTGGAACAAGCATTATGAAGCTATTTGCCTTTGCAAATATTTAAACGGCAGAGTGGATGTCGGGAGAAATTTTGAGTGGAAAAATAAGAAAGAAAGTCCTGTGATCGCGATGTTTGAGGTTTAAGAGGGCGTAATCCCAGCTCGGCGCCGCGAACAAAATTTCCCGACGAAAGGTTGCGCGTGCCTCGAGTGAAAAGGCCCTTAATCTTGGCGGTGCATTATGTACATTTATCCGACGGCACACTCGCGATCAATTCGCTGTTAGTGGAATATAATA